ACTACCTGCGGTCGAGGGGCCGGTCCGTGTTGGGCGGAGACTGTCTCCTCAAGTTCTCACTGTGAGTGAACAACCCTGGGGTAGGATGGAGTGGTGAGCCCAGGGGACACCCCTCCCTGCCACAGGAGCCTTGAGGGTCATGTGACTGGCCTGTCCCCAGAGATGTCTGCGAAGCCATGGAATACCTGGAGGGCAACAACTTTGTTCACCGGGACCTGGCCGCCCGGAATGTGCTGGTGTCAGAGGACAATGTGGCCAAGGTCAGCGACTTTGGCCTTACCAAGGAGGCCTCGAGCACGCAGGACACGGGCAAGCTGCCTGTCAAGTGGACGGCGCCTGAGGCCCTGCGAGAGAAGGTGGGCCATGCCTTCCTTCCCTGGGGCTACACAGTGGTGGACAAGGGTCCAGGCACCCACCACCCCTGCAGTCCCCATCTGATAGTCATTCTCCCATCCACCTGGCAGAAATTCTCCACCAAGTCCGATGTGTGGAGTTTCGGGATCCTTCTCTGGGAAATCTACTCCTTCGGGCGAGTGCCTTACCCAAGAATTGTGAGTATGGACGCTGGGCCTGGGACTTGGCTGGCTCCTCGGGGTTGGCAAGGGCGTCCTGCCCCTGGGTGACTTCTCGGCTGGGTCTGGAAGGTGGACCGTGTGGCTCCAGCCCCCACTGACTCCCAGCATCCCTTCCGCAGCCCCTGAAGGACGTCGTCCCTCGGGTGGAGAAGGGCTACAAGATGGATGCCCCGGACGGCTGCCCGCCCGCCGTCTATGAGGTCATGAAGAACTGCTGGCACCTGGACGCGGCCGTGCGCCCCTCCTTCCTGCAGCTCCGTGAGCAGCTTGAGCACATCAAGGCCCACGAGCTGCACCTGTGACCGTGGGGGGACGGACCCAGAGGTCAGGGACCCGGTGCCCCGCCACACGCTGGGCCAAGCCCGGACTGAGCCCCAGCAGACTGGTGGACCTCTCTCCTCTGTCCCCACCGGCCCTGGGACCCTGCCTAGGCCTGGCACCTCCTCTTATGGACTGGCCTGCAGGGCTGAGGTGCCTGAGCCGGGTAGAGGCGAGGGGCAGGAGGCGGGCCCACTGCGGGCCCCTTCCCAGCCTTTACCGCTCGCCTCCTTAGAGTTTTATTCCTTTCCTTTTTTGAGATTTTTTTCTGTGTGTTTATTTTTTATTATTTTTCAAGACAAGGAGAAAGAAAGTACCCAGCCAATGGGCATTTTACAAGAAGTACGAATCTTATTTTTCCTGTCCTGCCCTGAGGGTGGGGGGAGCGGCCCCTCTCTAGGGACCCATTGCCCCGGCCTCGGCCTCGTTCCGTATTCCGTGTCCCGTGTGCCGTGTTGCCTCGGCCGCCCAGTGTTTGCGCTTGACCATGTTGCACTGTTTGCATGCGCCCGAGGCAGACGTCTGTCAGGGGCTTGATTTCATGTGCCGCTGCCACCGCCCACCCACCCACGCCCACCTTGTGAGATGGAATCCTAATAAACCACTCCATGAGGACACGGCGCTTCCTCGCCGAGCCTGCCTGTCCCACCCAGCCGTGCCCATGCCATCTTGTCTCCCCCTGTCTCTGTCGGGGGGCTGGGGAGCATGGCCAGGAGATGTAGCCGCCGCTTTGTGTCAGCTGCACGAGCGACTGTCCTGTGTCTACCTGTGGGAAGCGCTCACTGCCCACCCTGCCCGATGCCACCCGGACCTGACACTTTGTGGCTCAGGAGTTGGAGCCGAGGAGGGGGGTGGCTAACCAGAGAAGGCTGGGGACAAGATGAACAGGTCTCCAAAGATGCTGGCTGTGGAGAACCACTGAGAAGAGGCTGGTTCCTCATTTCACCCAGCACTGAGCAGCCTTGGCCCATCACATGCGTACCACACCTGTGCCTTTCTGGATTTGGGACTGGGGCTCCAGGTCCTGTATCCAGCCACCTGCCCCTCCCTGCTCCATTTAGGGCACACAGATAGGAATGAGGGCTGCCCAGAAGCTGCAGGGCCTCAGAAGGAGAATGTACTGGATTTGCTCTCTGAGAACGCTGAGCCACCTGTTGTAGCCTCCAGGACTAGCAACCCAGGAAGCTCAGACAGGACAGATGTGTGCCTCTGTCCCGCGCCGTGGTTCCCGCCACCACATTCTCCCAGGGAAGCAGCCTTGCACTTCTTACAGTCCCTCACACACACTGGCCGGTAGAGTCGTTCCAAAGTAAATACTTGAACACCTGCTGTGTGCTAGGGCTGGGGTTGGGCAGTGAGCAGGACAAACCCTGTGTCATTCACACCTGGGACGATAGCAGATACCTAAGCTTACCAGTACCACTGCCAAACTGACACTGGATGGGGAAACAGCAGAACTGAGGGAGGGTGGGCAGGAGCCTCAGCGGGGGTCCACACCAACTGTGCTGGGGAGGGGTAGAGGAAAGATGAAAGATGCTGCTGACCAGAGCTGAGGTGCACTTGCCTGGGTGTACAGGGCCCTAGGTTCAATTCCCAGCACCACCAGAAAGAGGACACTGAGATTTGAAATGGGGCTGGAAAGTGAAACCTGTGGCTGGGGGTAGCTTTTATCAAACCAATAGCTACAGGAGGCAGATGACAGGTTCCTCTTAGTCCTGGTAAGTGAGGTTGAAGAATGGTGTAAAGACACAGTGGGAGATAGATGGACTCTCAAGAGATGTCAGAGGTAAAATGAAGTCTGGTGTGTGCCACTGTGTTACCCTAGCATGTGTGAGGCTGAGGCAGGAGGATCTTAAGTTTGAGGGCAGCCTTAGTGATAGCCTGTCTCAAAAAGCCAACGGAGTAGGTATGATTGAAGTATAGATTGAGTACGGACTGAAGGAGAGGGAGAAGCCATAGCCACCCAGCCCTAAGTATAGATAGGTGGCCAGTGGATGCCGGAGGGTAGGCAGCAGGGGCTAGAGATTACTGAGAAGGCATGGAGCTGGAAGAACATTGAAGCTGCCTGGCATTCTTGGGTGAGTTGTGGGGCCCCAAAAGCTAGGGAGGGAACCTGGAGTGTGAGAGCAGGCAGACTGAGTGCACAGCTAGAGGCAAGGGTGAGGTCACTGGAAGGCACAGAAATCGGCAGTGCGCAGGACTTCCTGGTGGAGGCACTCCCCTCCTAGAAGGCCAGTTGGAGGGGACCAGGCCCCATGCTGAGGGAGAGGCTGAGACCAAAGGGGGTTACAGTCTGTGCCCTACCCAGACTGTAAGCACCAGGAGGTCATTTTTATTTGTTTTTGCTTTTTATGGCACGGGGTATTGAAATCCATAATGAGCTGGGCTGGGGATTTAGCTCAGTGGCATAAGCACCTGCCTTGCAAGCACGTAGTTGTGAGTTCAATCCCTGGTTAAAAAAAGAAAAAATCCACAGTGAGCTACATCGCCAGCTTTTTTTTTTTATTTTATTTTTTGAAGCAAATTCTTGCTAAGTCATTAAGTTACCTACTGTGGGCTCAAACTGCCTCAGCCTTCCAGACCTCAGGAATTACAGGCAGGTGCCACATGCCAGCACGAAGGTCACCAAGGTCCTGGGTCTGGTAGGGACCTTTGAGAGGGCAGCAGCCAGAGACAAGGGGGCCAGAGGCAAGGGAACTACCCGAGGCCGAGGGCTGTATGAGTAATGGAGCCGTGATGGAAGGAGAGGAGGAGGATGTGAGAGGTGTGTAGGAGGACAGAGGCTTGGGCAAACCCGACCACCTAGGGGAAGGACATGACCTTTGGGTCACATCTAAGGGCTGAGAAGAGAACGGGCGGAAATGAAAGACAGTAGAGCCTTCTTTGAGGGAGGAGCTGGGACCGGAAAGGAACAGTCCAAACCCAGGGCAGGGCAGGGCAGGGCAGGGCAGGGCATGGGCGCTCTGGTCTATGGTGCTGACTCAGCAGGGCTAGCTTGACTCCAGCCAGACTCCAGTAAGTGTGGGCCCTTTATCAACTCTAGCCAGCTGGTCCAAGCTAGCCAGGGTCCAGGGGCCTCAGTGGCCTGTGTGGAGGAGTGGATCAGGGTCCTGCTGCAGCACGGGGGTCCCTCCCTGTACCCTATCCTTCCTTCCCCGCCACCATTCCCATTTCTGGCTACTGGCTCTTTAAACATGAGCACACATGGTCCCTCTCAGGACCCACTTGGGTGCAAGGGATCCAGTTGGTGCTACCTAGCCAGTGGCAGAAGCAACACGGGGCTCCAGTGGCTTCTCAGACACAGAGGACAGGCAGAGGTGGCGAAGTCCAGATAAAGGATGGAGAGAACGGTGTACTGAACCCGGCATCAGCAATTACCAACTCCAGGTCACCCTTCACTGCCTCTGCCCCTTGCTGTCCCCAGGCCCTGAAATACTGGAGCAAATCCCAGAAATTATCTGAATTTACCCATAAAGTATGGTTCTCCAAAAGATAAGACTTACACAACTATAGTACCACACTACTCCTAAAAAAAACTTCAAGATAAATTTGTTGTTGTTTTTGGGTCAGGGTCTTGTGATGTAGTTGAGGCTGGCCTTGAACTCATGTAACCCAGGCTGGCCTCAGACATGCAGACAATCTTCCTGCCTCAGCCTCACCAGCGCTGAGTCAGGCACCATGCCCACTGTGATAATTTCTTAATATAATCAAATATGCATTGTTCAAATTTCCCCAATTGGGGCTGACTTTAGCCCAGCGGTTCCTTCGACTCTTGCCTTCCTAACCATCTGGGTCGCTGGCTTTTATCATCCAGTGGTTAGAGACTCGCAGGTGCTCTCCAGTCCTTTTTTAAAAAAAAAATTCCCCAATTATTTGTTTCCAGTTGGTGGGTTAAAATTAGGCACCATGTGAGATCCATCCAGTGTATTTACTTGCTGTCACATAAGCCTGCCTCCCTTGTTCATGTGATTTACTGGTGAGAACACCAAGGTGCTGGGAAGGACGAGCTTGCTTTCGGGAAAGTAGAGAGAAGGAGGGGAGAGGCGAGGAGGAGAGAAAGGGGTGGAGGGCAGCAGAGTCGGGCCATTGCCTGGGACACAGAGGCAGGATGCGGAAGATCAGTCCCACCCCCGGCAGGGAGGAGCAGCCAGGCTCCGGCTGGTGGCCCTCCCTTGGCACCCCTGGGCACCAGCTGCAGGAGCCCAAGAGCAGAGGCAGCAATTCAGTAGGTGGGGAGGATGGGGCTTGAGACCAGCCTGGAGGAACAGGATGTCTGTACTGGGAGGAGGAGGTACAGGTCAGTGCCAAATCCCAGGTCCCCGTGGTGCCCAGCTCCTCCTGCCTGGCCCAAGCCCAGGACCCCTCCCTGGCCTCCCAGCTCTGATCACCCTGGCACCCGGATGTCAGTTCCTTCCGTTCTACCATGCCGGGGGCCCAAGGTCTCGATGTCCTGCTCTGTCTGCTCTTCCTCCTGCTCCTGGCCCCCCACAGCATTGAGGGAGGCTCCCCACCTCTTCCTCCTCAGCGCAGATTTGAGTACAAGCTCAGTTTCAAAAGCCCAAGGCTGGCGTGGCCAGGGGTTGGGATACCATTCTGGACTCATCATGGAGGTGAGGCCGGAGGAGGGGACTGGTGGGGAGGGGCTCTGCCAGGCTCAGGTTGGGCTAGGGAGGGGGTTTAGCACTCCATCAGGTCTTCCATTCCCCCCACCCTGTCTCAGTTTCTCTTCTCTGCCCTCTTCTGCCTCAGGACTCCTTTCTCCTCCTTTGCCTCCCTTAAACCTCCCTCTCCTCCTCTGCAGCTTGGACCTGTGAACACACACACACTTGCATGCATGTGGGATACGTGGTATACACCTGGGCATGGGGGAGCCGCAGAAAAGCTTCTAACCCTACAGGTCAGTTAGGGCTTTCCACATCAGACCCACAGGGATTCTGTCTTCTCACTTGATCTTCTCAGAAAGGGTGGTAACAACTTATTAGAGCCCTACAACCCAGAGGAGCCAACTCAGGAGTAGGCAAGAAGACAGGGGTTGTAGAGCAGGGCCTGGTACAAGTTCAGGAACATAACTTGTTTCCAAAATATATACAGGAAGGTCTGCCCAGCCATGGATTTCACTCAGCACCTCCTAGCAGGCAAAGAGAGAAAGCAGATCAGCTGATATGCTCATTGTCCACCCACTCCTCCTCTTTGGAGTCCTGGCACCATGATCCTGTAGGCCCAGTCTAAGTCCTTGGGCTGACTCAGCCTCCAGGAGCCTACAATCACAGTGAGGCCCCTGGCCTCCCACAGGGGCTGGACAGTGGACAGACCCACAGTCTCCTGCTCATCCCTGAACTTTCTGAGCAAACAGGCTGGATTAGCAGCCCCTGGGAAGATTCCAGGCTGGTGGATGGGGATAGGCTGAAGGGAGCCCTGATTCCTATCCCTCAGCTCCCACCAGGCTGGCCTGTTTCTTTCCCTTCTCCCCCCACCAATCACACAGCACCCCTTCCTGTCCTTCCCACTCCAGTACTGGGGATTGAACCTGGGACTTTTGCACTAATCTGCATCCCCAGCCCTTTTTACTTTTTGAGACAGGGCCTCACTAAGTCACTAAGTTGCCCAGGCTGGGTTTGAACCTGTAGTCCTGTCTCGGCGTCCCAGAGTGCTGAGATTACAGGTGTTCCTCAGCCCCTTATTTAGCAGTGTACCTTGGTGTGACCTCCCAGGCCTGGATATTGCTGATGAGACAGAGGGACAGGGCTTGAGGGTGGTAAGAGAACAAGATCTCAGCTGCCCTGTCCACAGATGCCATTCTAGGCCTGGAGGAGGTGCGGCTGGCACCATCCCTGAGGAACCGCAGCGGTGCTGTGTGGAGCAGAACCTTGGTCTCTTTCCCAGCCTGGGAGGTAGAGACACAGATGCGGGTGACCGGGCCAGGCCGCCGGGGCACTCAGGGCATGGTGAGTGGGCCCTGCTTAGGCCTGGGGCTCCAGCATTCTCAGCGACCACTGAGCTAAGGGGCGGGGCCCCTTCAGGTCGTGTGGTACACCCTGGATGGGAACCTTGTTGGCTCTGTTCCCCGGCGGCTGGCCTCGAGGGACGGTGTAGGGATCTTCTTCAACTCCTCAGCTGAGGACACGCGGGTGAGCAGAGTTCCCTCCCACCCCTGCCCTCCTCCTCCCACTTCCTCCCTGTTCCCTGGCTGAAGCTGATGTTACCTTCTTGCAGAACAGCCCTGCCATTCGTGTGCTGGCCAGTGATGGGCACAGTCCCCATAAGCAGCTTGGGTAAGGGCCTCTGGGGACCGACTCATGCAGCATCAGCCATACTTCGGCTGCCACCTCCTCACTGTCCTCCTGGCCTTCTGCCCACTGGCTGTCAGCCCAGCCCCCAGAGCCCTGTCTTCTCCTTTGGGGACAGCCCCAGTGGGTTCTCACAACCTGCTGAGAACACCGATCCTGGAGAAGTGAGGTCATTTGCTGAGATCACACAGCCATGGGCCGAGCTGGCGTCCGACCCCAGACTCGCCTGTAAAGGTCCCTGCCCCTGCCCTGCCAGCTTCTCCTTCCCTTCCTCCGGGTGACGTGGCCTCCCAGTGGCTGGACCAGTTTGTCAGGGCCTCTCAGCAAACAATCTCCTCTTGTAACAATTAGAATAATTGCACACCTTTGTGAAGCTGAGCTTTCTGTCCTTGGCCCAGGGCCAACGCCCTTGACACCACCATCTTGTGAACCCTCGTAACATGGTTATGAGCTACTTGCAATTATCCCTTTGTTTTAAAGACAGGACACCAGGGTTTGCAATTGCACGGTTCAGAGTACATGCCCTGGTCCCCTGTGCTGCCTCCTCTGTAGCGGAAGGTGGCAGTGACAGGTGCTTTGTGAGCTGCCCACCCCACCCACATGCCCAGAGAAACCTGGGGTGCAGGGCTATGCTCTGAACTCTCCAGAGCCTGCAGCACCACCCTGGATGACCACAGGCTAGTCATACCGTCCTGGGCTACTAGTGCCCAACCCATGCAGAAGGGAGAGGATGGAGGTGGCCTCCCCAGAATCATGGGGGCACTTGAAGTTTAAGAGAAAGAGAGAAGGAAGGGATAGCAGGCTGTGGTGGTGCGTTAGGGGTACAGAAGTCAGATTCCATGCTTGGCCCAGGCCTCTGTCTCTGATGACAGCCACAGGGAGGCCTCTGGGCCCTTTCTAAGTCAGAAAACACTTTGGCAGAAGTGTTTCCAGGCAGAAGGTGCTTTCCTGCCTCTATTTCTTCTGTGTAAGAGGCTAAACATAGGGACCTGTCCTGTGCTAGGTCACCTGGGGAAAGGAGGTGACACAGAGGCCAGGGCAGAGTAGCTTTTGAGACCCCACCCCAGGGCAAGGTGTGGGGTCCTCTGTGGCCTGGCTGGACTCTTAAATGCCCACAGGAATGGAGGCAGCCGGGTGCTGGGCTCCTGCCACTGGGACTTTCGGAATCGGCCATATCCATTCAGAGCACGGATCACCTACTGGCAACAGAGGCTGCGTGTGAGTCCTCCTGCTCCTGAGGTCTCTGTGAGCATTCAGATCATTGGCTCTGGGCTACAGAGATGCTGCCTGAGGGTGCCCTGCTCCAGCTGAAGTCTGGGAGATCACAAGGGGTCCCTGGAACACAGGGGTCCTCACATTCATGGGGTTACAAGCATATCCAGGGAGCACCCAGAATCCAGATATCACACAGCATGTGCCCAGGAGGCTCACATGAGCCCAGGATGCAGGTCACCTCCATGTCACTCTAGTCCCAAGCCCTGTCTGCCCTCCTTCCAGGGGCCGGAGCCAGTGCCTTCCCTTTGTGTCCTTTAGGTATCACTGAGCAGTGGTTTCACCCCTAATGACCCGGAAGACATCTGTATTGATGTGGGACCTCTGCTTTTGACCCCTGGAGGTTACTTCGGGGTCTCAGCAGCCACTGGCGCCCTGGCAGGTGAGGCCGCAGGATAGGTGAGAACAGAGGGGCTGTGTCTGTGACCTGGCTTCAGCAGACCTTTGCAGGCCCTGGGTGGGGCAATCACTTCCTCACCAAGTGACCTGGGCCAGTCACCAGCCTTTCAGTGGTCTCTGTCACCAGCAGGAAGGTTACTGCAGGTCTCACAAGGGACAAAGTGTTTTCATCCTAATGGTCCCTGTAAGTGCCCCTTGCTAGACACTGGGGCAGGTGAAAGGGGCACCGCACAAGGGACATTTAGGACACAGAGCAAAGGGAAGTGGTGTATGCAGAGCCCATGGCAAATGCTCCTCCTAGGAAGTAGGAAACTTTAAACATCAGGACTTTGGTCTGCAGTCTCTGGGCACTGGGGAGCCATGGAAGGAGTTGTTTTTTTTTTTTTTTTTTCCATTTCTTTTCTTTCTTTCCCCCTAACCCATTGAAACTAGAGCCTTCACACTGAGCTATGTCCCTTTTAAATAATTTTTCTTATTTTGAGTCTAAATCACCAAGCTGCTCAGGCTGGGTTCAAACTTGGGACTCTCCTGTCTCAAGAAAGACCTCTCTTCTCTTCCCTCCCCTCTCTTCCCTTCCCCTTCTCTCTTCTCCTTTCTCTCCTTCCTCTCTCTCCTCTTCCCACCCCCTTTCTTTCTCTCCAGAGTCTCACTATGTAATGCAGGCTGCCTTGAACTCACAGAAATCGTCCTGCCTCAGCCTCCTAAGTGCTGAGATTATAAATTTGCACCACCATTCCCAGCTCTAAGGTTTCTGAGGAGGATAGCAATGTGGTCAGAGCCATTCTGTGGAAGTAGCCAATGTGCGTTGGTGCTTCCTGGAGTAGCTGTGCACTGGGGAGCTGCGGTGTCCCTTGGTCTGGTGCCATGGCTCCAGACCACTATGTCCTTTCCCACTTGCCTGGGGCCACCTCTGGTTAAAGGTGTTTTCAACCCTCAGAGCCACACAGCTGCTTGTCTGTCCCCAGACCCTCCTAGGACATGAGCAAGATGAAGGTCGAAGAGATGCCCAAGTCACCCTGAACCTAGGGATAAGGGCTGAGTGGCTGGGGTGCTAGGCATGAGGATATAACCTTCCCCTCCCCAAACCTCTTCCAGATAACCATGATGTCCTGTCCTTCTTGACCTTCAGTCTGAGCGAGCCTGGTCCAGAGGTGATGCCAGCTGGGTCTCCTATTCCCAGACACCCCACAGCCCCTGTCATGGCACCCTTAGCCCCCTTTCTTTTGTGTGATGCAGTGCTGGGGGCCAGGCTCTGCCCTCTGGCCTCCTAGGCTGACAGGGCTGGGCTGTGACAGGACAACACACAGTGACCAGCACTGGTAGTCAACAGATGCAAGGGGAGGTGGGGCACAGAGAAAAGGTCAAAAACAACCTGGGAACCAGGACACTTCCTGGATGAGGTGACACTGAAGAAGGTTGGGGCCATAGCGGGGTGGCGGCAGTAATGGGAGGCTGGAAACCTCAGGTTGGTGATCAAGCAAAGGGCTCTTCCCTAGCAAGGAGGAGGCTTGGTCAGGGAGCGGGGCCCCTGAGGGAGACTCCCCACTTCTGGGCCTCCCATCTCCTTCCTGCAGGTTCCCCCTAGGCCTTTCCTGGAAACAGAGCAGCTCCGCCTGGCCAGGCTGCTGGAAGGGCTGCAGGCAAGGTTGGGCCTGAGCACCAGGAAGAACACATATCCACAACCAAATGCCAGAGCCCAAGAAGGAGGTAGTGGCCCAGGGCAGGGGCATCACAAGACCTCTGTCCTTAGAAGCAGGAGTCTTTTAACCCAGGGGAGATGGTAGCTACCAGAACCTGGGCTCAGATCTGTCCTGTCCCTACCTCATCACCTGTTGCCCACTACAGCCCATCCCAGCTCTGTCCTGCTCTCCAGGGGAAAGGCTCTTCGACCTGCAGGAGACGCTGAGCAGACACAGCCACATCCTGCAGGCCATCTGGGGTCTCTCTGAGCACCTAGCCCAGGTCAAGAAGCAATGGAAGCAGCAGCTGAGGTCCCCAGGCTGGGTCAGAACTGAGGTGGGATGGGTGAGTGGCCCATGGGCATCCACAGCTACCTCTACAGGCTTCAAAGCATAGCGAGTACCAGGTGTGATGGCACACACCTGGAATTCGGGCACTCATGAGGCTGAGGCAAGAGGATCGCCGTTAGCTCCATGCCAGCCTGAGCTATTAGTGAGACCCTGTCTCAAAAAACAACAAAAAACCAAACAAACCAGCCAAAAAACAAAAGAGCAGCAAGTGACAGAGCCAGGCGCAGGTCTCCCCAAAGGTGTGGCGGGCAGATGCGGGGGGGAGTGGAAAGTTGAAAATCACAGGGTGGGGTAGCACAGCCTGCAGGAGGGAGGGCATCTCTGGATAAGTAAATGCCCACCCCGTGGTGCAGGGAAGAGTCAATGCCAGATACTTGGATCAGGACCACAGACAAATGACAGAAATAGACTTGGTACCAATTTGCATGTGGCTGCACATGTGATTTGCATATGGCTTGCTTACTGCTTGGCTGCACAAATCCTCATTTCATCTCCACTGTCACCCTGGCTCCTCCCTTGAGAGCCATGCCCTGGGCATGCCCTGCCTGGGGACCCGAAAGCTAAACCCGCCAGACAAAGCATTTGGCCAGGAAGAGGTCAGCAACTCCTGCAGGCTTTGCTGGGTTCTGACAGCTGAGGCTTTAATCTTATGTTCTTAAGCCAGGGCAGCTTAGGAAGGGTCCCACCCACCAGGCCCAGTCCTCTTGGTCCTACCTCCAGGCCCAGGTCCCCTTCCTGCCAGGCCCCATCTCTCCAAAAGGACAGCTACTTTTCCAGGCCACTTGACATGGCAGAGACTCAAAACTGGGGGTATTAACAAGTCCTGGCCTGCTGTTTGGCTCACATCTTGGGAGATGGGGACAGAGAGGACTGGGATGGGAGGGATTAGAAGCAGAAGGATTCTGAGAAATCCAGGAGTGACAGGGATGGGAGGGAGAGGGAGAGGGGATAGGACTTCAGAGCCTAGATGGAGAGAGGTGAGGGAAACTCATTGTGTCCAAAATGAAGAGGGCAAAACTGGCAGAGTGGCAATAATCTTACCACTCAGGGGATAGGAAGTGGTTGAGGCAGGAGGATTTCTGCGAGTTCTGAGCCAGCCTGGGCTACATAGTGAGTTCAAGCCCAGCCCAGACTACACAGCACAACTCTGTATAAGAAAACCAAAAAATTCGGGCTGGGGATTTAGCTCAGCGGCATAAGCGCCTGCCTTGCAAGCAGGCAGTCGTGAGTTCGATCACTGGTACCGATAAAAACAAAAAAAGACAAAAAAAAAAAAAAAAAAAAAAAAGAAAGAAAACCAAAAAATAGAAGTGGGGCATGGTGGCACACTCCTGTAATCCCAGCACTCGGGAAGCTGAGGCAGGTGGATTGTTGCAAGTTCAAGACCAGCCTGGGCTACAAAGAGAGCCCAAGGTCAGCCTGAACTGCATGTGAGACCCTGTCTCAAAAAGACAAAAATAAATAAATAAATAAATAAAATGAAGGGGGCCCTGGTGCTTTGGTAAAGCCCCTAGAAGGAGGAGGGCTGCAGTATCCCTAAGGAATGTGACCCTGAGAAGGTGAATCCTGGACCAGAAGCTGTCCTCTCCACCCTGCAGGACTCGGCCAAAGTCAGTACCTTGCTTTGTGGACAGCAAACTCTGCTTCAGGGCCTGCAAGACATGAGGTAAGGGGTGAGAGAGGGAAGAGAAGCCCTCCACACCCACCAACATACCTCTCTGCCTGAAGGGGGTTCATGGTCCTGCAGTTCTTTCTTTCATGGCTTCCCAAACGTTCACCAGGCACAGAGCTTGGCAAGGAGACAAGCTAGAGGTTGCAGTGGCTGAGGTGACCTGAATTTAACTGAATTGAGTTTAAAGTTTTGAAAGTCCTACTTTGAAAGCACTCTCATTGAGCATGGTAGTGCACACCTGAATCCCAGCACTCGACAGGCTGAAGCAGGAGAATCATCCTGAGTTTGAGCCATCCTGAACTATGTAGTGAGTTTAAGGCCAGCCTGAACTGCATAGTAAAATCAATTTAAAAATAAATTTTTCTGTGGTGGCATGTACATGCACCAACTTCCCATGCTAAATGGAATCATTATGTACTACAAACATGTACTAATAAAAATAGAAATAGAAATGTAAAAAGGAAAAGACCATTGTGTGACAGGGGACGTTCCTCCCAGGCAGAAATAGTAAATCTGAGCTTGCCTTTGGAGACAGCTCTCAGAAACAGCCTGTGTTTGAAAGAGATTTTAGAGGGACACAGCCTAGACCAGGCCAGCTGGAGAAGGAAGCCCTGAGCTCCCTTTGCCCTCTGCCATGATGGAGCCTGCAGGCCCAGGAGCTACCTGTGGAGCTCTGGGCGGGGAGATCCCTGGGTACACAATGCCCACTCTCCACATCTAGGAGGCTGGGATGGCAAAGGGGAGCAGGACAAGGAGCGAAGCCAAATACCCTGAGGCCTGGGGGGTCAAAGGCAGAGAGTCCAGGGAGACAGTGGTTGAGCCAGATAGCTTGAAGGGGATCTTTGTCCAGGTTAAACCTGTCTTAGGGCCCAGAGAGAAGTTCTGGGACCAAGACCAACCTCTAAAAGAATGGTGCCTGTTCTCTATTTGTGCCGTACCCTAGGGATCATGGGAAATGACCTGGGTGCAACCGGAAGGTAAATGAGTGACCTCCCTATTTCCACCTGGCAGGGATGTTGCTGCTCGCATGGCCTTGGAAGCCCAGGTTGCCTCTCTGCCTGTGGGCACCAAGCATCACTTCTTGGAGCTGGACCGGATCCTGGGTCTCCTGCACAAGGACCTTCAGGGCACACAGGTGACAGTGAAAGGAGGAGGGCGCGGGGTCCCCTCCCTGAGGTCTGGACTCCACTACCCTCTTCCATCACTTCTGCCCCGGGTGCCCACTGCCTTTTCCTCCCTCCCAGGACCTGAGCAGGCACACCTGGGTGGATACCTATGTCTGTGTGTACACTTGGGTGTTCAAGGACATGAGTCCCACCTTTCTGCCGTCTCTCTCTGGGAAGTAGCACAGACACAGCAGCAGTAGGGTCCTGGAACCTGTTCAGAGTCCACCCCCTCAGTGACTGCAAGGAAATGGGTGGCTTTGCCCAAGGTCATTCAGCATTCAGCAGTCGAGCTGCTCTGCCCTTGTGCCACCTGTTCCTTCTTGCTCTTTCCCTTGCCCTCATTTTGTGTCTGTCTCTATCTCTGTCTCTCTGTCTCTGTCTCTCTCTGTCTCTCTCCCCTTCTCTCTCTCTCTCTCCCTCATCACTTAAGTCACTGGTCCCTGATGCTCCCAGACTCCAGGTCTTCCCAGTTTTTCCCACAGATGCAGCCACTGAGTCCTAGGTCGGGAGACAACTCTGTACACCACTCTTCTCCAGACAGCGGCCACCATAGCTCAGGCCTGGGGAGACACATGAGGCCAAGCATAGCACAGATTCAAGCGCCCCTCCTTCCTGGGTTGCAAGGCGAGTCAGGATCCCCCTCTCCCCTTCCAGAAAGTAGCAGCCAAAGGCCCCCAGAACCCTGGCTGGCGCCCAGGGACTCCCACATGCCTGCGGCCTGGCATCTTCCTGCTCTTCCTCCTCATCCAGACTGCAGGCTTCTTCTACTATGTGAACTTCAGGTAGGTCCCTGTGAGCCCAGGTAGTCCCACATGGCCCAGCAGGGCGCAGCTCTGGGCTGTCACTGTTCAGATTAATTGTAAGCAGCAGAACACAGGCTGAGACCCTTTCCTCCCCTGCCCATCTGGTCCTCCCTCCCAGAGCCCTCCACAGTGAGCAGGTGGCTAGGAACTGACAGTGTACCCCATGTCCAGTACTGATGGCCAAAGCTCAGGGACTATGAGAGCACAGGGACTATGAGAGCACAGGAGAAAGCACATGGAGAGATAGGGAATCAATCTGGACATAAGGGAAGGACATTTGAGATGGGTCCTCAAGGTAAACAGGAGTTTTCCCACCCGCCAAGATAGGTAAAGGCCTCACTGGATGAGAAAAGGCACGGGAACATGAAGAAAAGCATAATATTTTGGAAAAATGGTAACAGTATTGTTGGAGACAGAGTAGGATCAGTTTGTGACATTAGGCAAACACAATACAAAAAGTTGGAGGGAAGCCAAGCATGGTGGCACACATCTGTAATCTCAGCACTCTGGGAGGCTGAGGCAAAAGGATCAGAAGTTTGAGCCCTGTCTGAGCGTTTTTAGCAATTTAGTAAGACCCTCTCTCTCTCTTAAAAAAAAAAAAAAAAAAAAAAAAAAAAAAAAAACAGAAAAAGAAAAGAAAAAAATTGCTTTTAAGGGCTGGGGATGTAGCTGACTGCAAATGGCCTGGGTCCAATCTCTAGGACTGTCCCCCTCACCACCAAATGGGGAGGAAGTGGAAGGTCACTCTTTCTTGGTGGGTGGTGAGTGGCTGCTAAATGAATGTACGTCTATAGACATACACACACTAAAAGTCTCAGAAATTCCTCCTTGCTGGGAGAATTTCAAAATGAGAAGAATCTAAGTGGGCTGGGATGGTCCTGGAGGAAAAGTGAAGGGTGATGAGCCTTAAAAGGCCTAAAGTGGAAATGAGGACCCAGGGGTGCAGTTCTTGGACTGAGGCATCTAATCTGACCTTAAATGCCAAAAGGAAATGTGAACCTTGAGTGGCATGGAAAGAGAACCAAAACGACCCTGGCGAAGGGGAGGCTCTGGGTCAATGAGTGGAGGTAAACAGGTTTCAAGGGGCCAGGCAGAGCCTGTAATCCCAGGACATGGGAGACTGAGGCAGGGGAATCACAAGTTCGAGGCCAGCCTGGGCTGCTAGGAAGTTCAAGTCTAGCCTGAATTACATAGTGAGACCCAGTCTCAGCAAAACAAATTCCCAGAAGGGAGAGATCCAAGTAACTTTCCTCTCTCCCTGGCAGCAGGCAGAAGCTGGACAAGAAACTTCAGGAAAGCTGGTCCCTGGGGAGCCTCTCCCTGGGTCCTGCACCAGACGTCCCCAGTACACTGGGGGCCCTGAGGAGGCAGCCCTTCTCCTGCAGTGCGCATGTCTGACCCACATCCAAATCACTTTTCATGGGGAAGCAAGTGGCACCTGGGGTATGGACAGCCTGGGCTGAGCCCTCTTCCGCTTGGGTGCCCAGCTATGCCCCACACCTGACATTTTCAAGCCCCACCTTATTAAAGGCGACTTCTCTGTCCCCAAGCTTTGCCGTGTTCATTTACCTTCCAGCTCCTCCTAACCTCTGCAGCTTTCTGGGTAGGGAATGGCTGGGTGGGCTCCACGCTGCAGGGAGGCCGAGGTCTTTCTTAACAGGAAGAACACACACCACCAGCCCTGAGGAGAGGGGGTCAAGCTGCCAGTAGCTCTGTTCCTAGACTCACCCAGCACAAGGAGTGGTGTTTCAAAGGGTCCCTCCTGCCTCAGCCAATCGCCAAACCATTCTCCCCCTCTTCGGAGCCCTAGGGACAGCAGGACAGGCGTGTGACAGAGGAACTCCAGAAGCAACTCCTGAGCCACAACGGATTCCTGCTCGTGTTCCCCGCTGCCTCCCTTTACGCTGTGCAGCTGCTGGGGTCAGCATGGAGGAGGGGAGGGGACTGGAATGAGTTTCTGCCTTTCGCTGCTGTCCCCATCACGCACCTGGAATCCAGGTTATGAATGGTGCGGAGGGAATGGAGGAGGAGAGGAAGGCAGGGTCCCCCCGGGAGCGACCCCACCACCGCAGCCCCTAATCCGCCGCCAGCGGGGCCGAAAGCTCAGCGCGGGGAACCGAAGCACGTGGCGAGCGCGGCCGCACGTGGTCCCGCCGTTTCAGCCCCGTGCGCGCCCCTTGCCTGCGGGGGAGGGGCTGCGGGGCGGGGCGGGGCCGGGAGAATGGGGCGGGGCTCTAGGGAGCTGTCCGCGATCCCAGTGCTGAAGTCGGTGCGGACGTGCATCGCCCGCGCGGACGCCCGACGCCTGTTGTCTCTGCCGGCTGAGACCATGGCGTTCATGGTGAAGACCATGGTGGGTGGCCAGCTGAAGAACCTCACTGGGAGCCTGGGAGGCGGCGAGGACAAGGGAGATGGGGACAAATCGGCCGCCGAGGCGCAGGGCATGAGCCGAGAGGAGTACGAGGAGTATCAGAAGCAACTGGTGGAAGAGAAGTGAGTGGGATACCTGGCCCCAATGATCCCCCGCAAACACACACACACAGATATTCGCAGCCGCCGGGCCACCCATGGGCCAGCTTGCAGCACAAGACCCTTTCTCTTCCTCCCTGAACTTGCCAAAAGGCTGGGGAGAGGGTGTCCTCCAGCTGCTCCCTGCCAGGGAACACACCCAGGACCCTGTTCCAGCTACCTGTGACCCTGAGGGAGTGGGGAAGGAAGACCTGTGCCTGGGATGGGGAGGCGAGTGCACGTGCATCTCTGATGAAACAGGTAATCCCTTAATCCGATCTGGCCCGAGCCTTCTGACAAGGGCTCTTCTGAGCCTTGGGCTCTGAGAAAAGAGCTGCTCAGAAGGGGCTCAGAGGTGCAGAAATGGGTCCTGAGATGCAGGCACTCTTGCAAAAAATGAACCCATTGCATTCCTGCAGTTCTGGGACAGAGCAGAGCTGGGATGGAGTTAGGAACTGGACTCTGGGTACATGTCCTGGCTTGGCTTCTTATTAACTGGGTTACTTCAGGCAAGTTACTTAGCCTTCTTGTGCCACCCTTCCTCTTCTGGAAATGGACTGGTTAATCGTACTACATGACTTAAATATTTATAAAGATAAAATGACTTCATGTGTGTAAACCATTTAGTGCAGTGGCTGGCATGAGGAAATCATCATTAAACATTAGTTATGGTTATTTCACTTAGTTGTGGCAGTTTTGTGAGTTGCAAGTTCTCATCCCCACCTTCCAGAAGATGAAGGTAAGTGGCTTACACAGTAGTAATGGAGCCCTGATGGGAGACTGAGTCTGCTCTGAATACTCTCCACCATGGGACACAGTTGTCAGGGAGGGAAAGGCACATGGTAAAGCTCTACAACAGAGCTGTGGCAATGGGGCACTGTGCTGGAGTCAGGGAGCACACTCACCTAGCAGGCCAGGTTCAAGCATCCTAACTTCCCACTGGCCATCAAGTGGGACCAACGCCACCTGCTGCCACACCCTGAGACCCCTCCCTCACAGCCCCCTCAGCCCTTGCGGTGACATCACCCCATCCCTCCACAGGATGGAGCGGGATGCGCAGTTCACGCAGAGAAAAGCGGAGCGGGCCACGCTGCGGAGTCATTTCCGAGACAAATACCGACTGCCCAAGGTACACAGGGCTTCAAGGCAAAGCTGGGACCCTGAGGTCCTTCAGCCAGGGGGTGTTGCCACTCTCAGCCCATAAACCTCATGATGTGCTCAGTTAGATGTTTTCGTTTCTTTTTTTTTTCTTTTCTTTTTTTTTTTTTTTTTTTTTGTCTTTTTTGTTTTTATCGGTACCAGGGATCGAACTCACGACTGCCTGCTTGCAAGGCAGGCGCTTATGCTGCTGAGCTAAATCCCCAGCCCAATGTTTTCGTTTCTTGTTCCTTTTTCCACTCATTTGTTCGTGAGCTGCTGGGTTAACCAGCTCCCTTCAAGCCAGGCCTTGATGCTGAGGGAAAGCCCCAGTTCTCTGGAGACTCGGGTTTGTGTTTCTGGTGTCAGTCCAGGTCCCTTCTCCTCTCCAACCCCACCTCCCAAAGCTCGATCAGGCCCAGCCCACGAAGGCTCAGAAGAGGCAGAAAGTGGATTTTTTTCCTGGGACTTCTGAACACACAGGGTGAAGTGGAGGACAGAAGGCAGGTGATGTGTGTGTGCCAGATGTGTGAACATCTTTGCCTTCACAGTCTCACCCAAACCCCCAGTAATACTGCCAAGCAGCTGTCACCCACATATGGGTGAGGAAACTGAGGCTCAGAGACAAGAAAGGACTTGGCTAAGGTCGTGCAACCAAGCAGAGGTGAAGTTTGAGCCTGTTCCCCAGGCACCCGGGCACCTGAAGAGAACAAAGGTGCCCTCACTGGCCAGGCAGCCCAGGAGCTCTCAGAGGCTGTCATCCCCTAATCTGCCCCAGGTAGTGCAGCACATAAGCATATGAGTGTGTTCATATGCCTAGGGAGGAAACTGAGGCAAAAACCACTCCAAAAATATTACCTTCATTTGCCCAGAATTGTGCTAGGCTCTGCAGGGACAAAGAAGTAAAGTGCTATCAGCACTCCTGACCTTGATCTTCACTTGAACTGAAAGATCAAATACAGGGATATCACATGCACTCATGCAACAAATGCTTACTGAGGCCCTGCTGCCTCTGGCTCCCCACAGGGCACTGGTCTTTTGAAAGTTTCTCAAAGGGACAAACTGGTCTGGAAAGCCTGACTTATGTTAGCCCATCTGAGAGTAAATGGAGTCATTCATCAAATGCTGGCACTGAGCATAGAAGAGATATGACACAGTCAAGTATGGTGGTGTACACTTGCCATCCCAGCATCCAGTATTCTGCAAGGCTGAAGCAGGAGGATCACAAGTTTGGGCCCAGACTGGACAACTTAGCAATTTAGTGAGAATTTATCTTAAAATTAGCAATATAAAAAAGGGCTGAAGTAGCACAGCGCAAAGGCCCTGGGTTCAAGTCCTAGTACAGGGTGACACAGAGAGAGAGATGACACAATTGTGCCTGCCATCAGGGAACTGAGGCAAGGACTTGGATTTAGCTAAGTAGGATACAAGGAAGAAAGTCCCAGCTCCTCCGAGAGGGACCCCAAAATGCACTGGCTATCAGTTGATGCCATACAGAACATGGACATTGACATCAGGGACATAGGTTTGAATCCAGCTCCTCCCCTTCCTGGTTGTGTGAGGCAGGCAATTTACTTCTTTAAGTGATCTGAACCTTTGTTTCCTTATTTGTAATGTGGAGACAAAAGTAGCTACCTCCTAACGCTTTTCTAGCTTGACATCAGCCATGCACAGGGTGGTTAAATGATACTCATCACTGTTGCTGGCTGTGTCCTTCAGTGTGGTTAACTGTAGTCACCTAAGACCTAGCTGATGGTGACAGTTGTGATTTCCTGCAATCCTGTTCCCTTTTTACTCACCATGCAGTGGCAAAGCGTGAGGTCTCCATGTCCTAGGGTGTGGGAACGCGGGGGCCTGACACCCAGGCCAGGCTCCTTCCCTGCCCCTCAGCCCACACCTCTTCCTTTCAGAATGAGACAGACGAGAGTCAGATCCAGATGGCAGGGGGGGACGTGGAGCTGCCCCGGGAGCTGGCCAAGATGATCGAGGAGGACACAGAGGAGGAGGAGGAGAAGGCTTCGGTGCTTGGGCAACTGGCCAGCCTCCCTGGCTTGGATATCGGCTCCCTCAAGGACAAGGCCCAGACTACACTGGGAGAGCTCAAGCAATCTGCTGAGAAGTGCTACATCATGTGACTGTGTCCCCTGGGGTGGCTGCAGGGACAGCCAGAGGGCTGGGCTTCCATGAGGGCCAAAAGGTACTTGTACCCCACTGGAGCTCTGCTCCTTGCCCCAGCTTGGCTTCTGACCCTTCTTGCTTGTACCCATTCCTCATCCTAGCCCGTAAGACCCTCCCCGGCAATCAGCCCAGGAGACCTCCAAGCCTGTAGAAAAGAGCTGGTCCTCTCTGGGTGTGCCCCAACTTCCTGAACACAGATGCAGTTACAGAGGGACATGAAACCCCTGGCACACACAGAGACATCCTCTGTGTACCCAGCCTTTTTGGTCAATAGCCCCAGATGCTGCCAGAGGGGACCCTGGGCAGCACCCTCAGCACACAGGAGGCTACATCCCAGTCTCTACCTTTATTGTTCTTGAAGCCTGCTCTTTCTGGCCTCATCTCTTCATCTGTAAAATGGGAAAAGACCCTGTAATGTCTAAGATTCTGGCATGGCACCCTGCCATGTGGAGCATGGCAATGGCTGCTCCACAGCTATAGCAGCTGCCACCCAGGCTCTGAAGTGGAGCAATGGTGAGAGGGGCAGAGTGCCAAGGATGGGGCTGGCACTGAGCAGCAGCCTAGGCAGCTCCAGGCCTCTCTGGGCCCAGGGCCCAGCCAATTTCTGTTCTGTCCCTGTAGAACTCTTTCTCTGTGTGGATTCCATAGCTGGAATCTCCTCTCCCACCTCAGTGAAAAATAAAAATTCCAGATGACATAGCCATCTTCCCCCTGCTTCCTGACCTTAACTCTGGGAGCTCACATCCCCAGACTCTACCCTTGGAAGGGTGACCTCTTCCTCCTCACCTACAGCTTCAAAGGAGGGAGGGGCATCAGTGCCAGGGGACATTGGTGCCAGCCCCTATAGGAAGTTCAGGCTCTCCTCTTTTAGAACCTTGGGTAAGGGAGCAGAAGGTCTAGCCTGGGACTGGGTGAACTAAGATGGACTCAGCCACTGGGACAGATATGGCACCCAGCTGGATGGGGTTGTATATGACAAGATGGGACGTGGGAGTGTTGCCTAAGACCACAGCAGACTCCAGCCCTTTTGTCTGTACCCATCCTCAAGATGCAATGGATAAACAGATGGAACCAGAAGACAAAGGGACTGCACCTCAGCCCAGCAGTACTGTGTGGTTTCCTCCAGGTCCTTTCCCTATCCGAGCCTGCCCAGAATAACAATGATAAATGTTTCACAGGGTGCCTATGTGTTTCTTTCCTACTGATCATGATGGGATTGGGACCTACAGCCTCTTACATGCTGATCAGGCACTTTGCCACCCACTGAGCCACACCTCTGACCCCAAAAGGTGACCATCTGTATGTACTATCCTTGGCATGTGACAGACCATATCAATTGACAGTAACATGTTTTTAAAACAAAGTGAGAGGGAGGAGAAGTGCAAAGACCATGTGATGCTGCATCTGACTGTGACTGGCTGATACTCAGCCTGAGGTGGCCCCAGGAAGCCTGGTGTGAAGCAGGAAGCTGGTCCTATCACTACGCCTGGTGCCCACTGAGGAGTTTGTAGACACAAACTCATGCAGTGAAGCATGAGTTGAGACATTTTTTTAAAAATGCAAAAGTAAAGAGCTCAAGTGTCACCCTGTGCCCCTGTAGGGCTGGGCCACAGCAGAGGTGTGTGGTGGGGTAGGGATTGGGTTCCCTGGGCAGGAATCCCAAGGCAGGCTGGGGGAAGGTCAGTGCAGGCTGCCTAGTGCCCTCAGCCTGGGGACTGGACTGACAGAGGTTGAACGGGGCCTCTGGGAGCCACCAAGATGGACCAGTGGGAGCAGGCCGGTTCAAGGGCACAGTGTCCGCAAGACTCCTTGGGAATGAGAACATGGGCCTCAAAACTGCGCAGGGGCTGAAAGACAGCAAGCAGGAGCTGGAGGTCCAGGGCTGTCACCACCTGCACCCCCACCTCACCCCCACTTTGCTATCCTGAGATCCTCGGCAGGGCCCTGCACCAGGGACAACCCCCTCCTGACCTTCCAAAGCTGGAGGAGGCTCAGCCACGCGTAGCAACAGGACCCGCGTCAGTGCTGCACCCTCTGGGGCCCTCTGCCTAATAGGATCCGACAGCCCCTGCCTGCTTCGCGCTATGCTGGGTCCAAAGCAGGGCAGAGTGGCAGGCAGCGGCGGCAGGGGGGGTACTCACTGAGCCCTGTCAGAGAAGGGCTGTTGGGTGCCTGGGGTCAGGAAAGGGGGTGCTGGGTCTCCGAGATGATTCCTTCAAAGATAGGGACACCTGAGAGGCCCCGACCTATCTACAGTGACCCTGGCATGGGGTCAGAGAGGCTCTAGGGTGGAAGGAGCCAGTTTTCTGGCTCATACTGAGGTGAGTAAGGAGGGCAGGCTGAGGGGACCCTCACCCTGCCTGCTGTGGTCCCTTTTATTTCTCTGCCAGCCCTGTTGTGTCCCTCTCATTCCTGAATTGGTATCCTCCCGCACCTGCCCTGCTCCAGGCCCTCTGGCTCTGGTGGTGGTTGTCCTGCTCTCCATTTTGTTCCATTCTACTCTTATTTTAGAGCATCGTGTGCTTCCTAAATGCCTACCCAATTGGTGTGATGCGAAGGCCACAAAGAAACCCACTTGTCACCCAGGCTCCCCTTTCCACAGTGCCTAGAACCTACCACAAGGCCCCCATGGACCAGAGCCCAGGGATCTGGGCCTTTCTCTTCCACACTTCTGTTCTCTTCCCCTTTTCTTTTCCTTTTTTCCCTTGCAGATGGTCTGAGAAAACAGGAAATGTCACAGGTGCTCTTCCATTCCCAGGGAATGAGAGGAAACCAAGATGGCCACCTATCCATCTCCCCTGTACACCATTGGGGCTCCAGTTCTACTCTAACTGACCTCAGGAAGATCAGTGACACCTGACCCTATCTGCAGAGTCTCTAGTCCCCCTCCTGCTTCCTCCATCCAGACAGCTCAAGCCAGCAAGCCAGGTCTCAGCAGCAAGAGGGTGACATTCTGAGGCCATCTGGTCCCGGGGGAGTTGGGGAGGGCGACCAAGGCTGGGGGTGCACAGATCTCTCTTTCCCAATAGCCAGATGGTCCCTCTGCAGACACCAGAGGCCCTGGGCAGGCGTTGGGGACATCTGGGTGTATTCCCTCACTGCATCTCGATGCTGACAATGCCTGCTGACACAGCTGATGTTCAGCGGGGCAAGGGTGGGGGTTCCTATTCTGTCCCCTGGACCCCATTGCCCTGCATCTAACCTGAAGTCTTCCTGTCCCCACTGTTCCCAGGCTGCGTGAGGGTTGGAAGCGGGGTGGCCAGGGTCCTGGCTGCCTCAGCCTGCCTGGGAGAGCACTGTGCCTGCAGGCACGCAGCCATCCATGCAGGGAACCACAAGCATGAGCACACACAGGGCTTCGAGCATGGAGGTCTGAGTGTGAGTTAGTGTGGGGAAAGTGGTCATTGCTGTCCCCTTCCTCTGAAGCCCCAGCCTTACCTTCAGGGAGGGCTGAGGTGGCAATCTGGCCTCTGGAGACAAAAGCCCTTCCAGGTGACCCAAACAGAAACCCAAATTATCCTCTGCCCTCTTCTCAGTGAGCCATAGGAGGGGCAGGCAGGTACAATGATGACACTTGGGTCCCTCAGAGGCTCACCTCCCTCTCTCTAGGCTGAATTCACATTCAGGTATGCTCCTGGTGTGGTCCAGGGTTGGCTCTGAGCTTGGGTAACTGAGTGGAAGTGGAGGGCAAGGTAGGGTGGGGACCTGGACATTGCTGAGGGACACAGGTCCTGCCTTGAGACTTTCAAAGTTTTGAAGATGAGAGGTAGAAATAACTTTTTTGTTTGAGTATTGAACCTGGGGCTTTTGTGTTGAGCTACATCCACAGCCATTTATTTATTTATGAGACAGGGCCTCAATAAATTGCCCAAGCTCAAATTTGTGATCTTTCTTTCTTTCTTTTTTTTTTTTTTTTTTTGTCTTTTTGAGACAGGGTCTCGCATTGCAGTTCAGGCTGGCCTTGAGCTCACTTTGTAGCCTAGGCTGGTCTTGAACTCACAAGGAACCTCCTGGCTCAGCCTCCCAAGTGCTGGGATTACAGGCATGAGCCATCACACCTGGCTAAATTTGTGATCTTTCTGCCTCAGCCTCCCAGAACACTGGGATTACTGGTATGGCCATGATGCTCAGCTATATTGTCATCTGGCCCATTTGCAGAGATAATGTCTTTCTCCTTAGACTACAAAATGACATCTTATTTCACACTTATATACATCCAGCCCATGTACACTACCTCATTACCAATGCCCTTTGGACACCTACCCTCATCCTTGTCCTCCCCAGAAAGTAAAAGGCTGATGGACCTACCACAGCGCCTGCTCCACAACACCCCCTGGTGGCTAGAGTTGGTTCCCTGAGAGAACGCTGGCCAGTAGTCACCCAACTCAAAACCAGCACCTCTCCACCCCTGCCTCCAGGAGTGGGGAGCACACCTATGTGATGTTGCAAAGCCTAAGGAGCAGCTCCCGCTGACTGTCTGGGGTACTCCCTCCCTTAATCATCAGGAATGCTTCCAACAAGAACTGGTCACACCAAGAGCACAGAGCCTGCTGGAAACGACCCTGCCTTTTCCCCACTCCAGCCCACCATGGGTCCAAGGTAAGACAGGTGAGAGGCCAGGGGATCCTGGCAGGGGATGGATGGGCACTTAGGGGCCAACTCTTGCCATTCAGCCGAGGTGTGGAGGGTAAGAGTTGTGCTCGGTTCCCCGTGCCTCCACTGTCCCATTCCTTGGGTGATAAAAAGAACAGAAGTCAGCTTGATATCCCAGGCTGAGGGTGTACCTACTGCTCCCCGCTGCAACTCCCCAGCTTGTCTCAGCTTCCCTAACTTTTCAGGTCCCTCACCCCTGCCTGAGCAGAGATGCCTCTCTAGTTTTCCCAGAGGCAAGAAGAATCAATCACACAAATGCAGAAAATAATTTAATAAGAGAAACGAATTGCATTCGTTTACACCCAACCTCCAGGGGAGGACACAGGACTACTCCCCAAGGCGGTGTTTAAGAGCAAAAGGGTTTAGAGTCACCAACAACCTCTCAGCTTTTTAACACAAACCCATCCAGTGCGTACATTCCTCTCCAGGGCAAAGTCACCCTGTCCTCAAAAGAGCTGCATGGGCTACAGAGGTATCATGGGCCCAGCAGAGATGGAGACCCAGGCCCAGAAAAGAGAAAGGGCAACCCACAGTCACACAGCAGTGTGGCAGCAGCATCAGGCCTAAGACCAGGCAGTCTGGTCTGCACCGGGTATCCTGCAGTCCCAGCTCTGTGGCTAGCATGGAATGTTTCCCAGGGAAGGACAAGGACTGAGGACTATGCCCCTGAGCCGTGCGTACCCCTGAACCGTGTGTGCCCCTGCAAAGAACCTAATATCAGGCTGGAAGGGCAATTTTACAGGACTGAGGCAGGGGTGGGTGTGAGCCCCAGCAGAGTGTACACTGTAAGATGGGGGTCCCTGAGTGCCCCACTCTGGTGAGGAGAGGTACACTAGAGTAATGGCATCCACAAAGGGTGGCTCAGGGAGTGGCTACCTGCTGGCCAAGAGGTCAGAGCTAAAGGTCCCTGCCCAGGGCCCTGCTCTCCTCTCAGAGCAAGTGACAGGTGCAGAGCTCAGGAGTCACTAAATGACAAGGGTCCCCCATGGGGAACTTCTTCCAGAGACTGGCCAGGAGTTCCTGCAGACCTTGCGACCCCAGGGATGCAGGGAGCATTGTAGAGTGCCTGGAGATGTCCATCCAACCAGGGTGCACAGGGCCACTGGGTTCCTGGTGTCCCCTGGGTAAGTGTGCCCTACACTCTGGGTGTCCCAGGCTCTGTCCAGCTGTCCTGGGTCACTGCAGGGTACAAGCTGAGGAAGGGTGCAAAAGGAGTCACATTCTTTGCTTTTTGTTTTGTGAGACAGGGTCTAGCTATATAGTCCAAGCTGGCCTTGAACTCTCTATGTAGACCAGGCTGCCCCTGAACTCCTGGTAATCCTTTTGCTTCAGCCTTTGCAGGGCTGGGATTACAGGAATGCACTCACTTGTGAGTTTAGGCTCACATCTGTAGCAGAAAAGGCAGAAGCCAGGCCCAGCCCCACTATCCTCCCTCCAGTGGGGAGCATCAGACCCCAGGCAGGACTCACAGCTCTGCACAGACTCAGACAACCCCTCTCTGTCCAGGCCCTCTGCTTCCCAGCGAGACTCTCTCATCTGCAGAACATTGAAGCAGTACAAGGGGTGAAACAGCCAGAGACTAACACAGGAGCCACAACATATGGAGGAACCAGGAAACAGATAGCTATAGGCAGAAAGGCAAGGACCCACACACCCGCACCCTGACCAGACCCTCCTGTGACTACCTTGATCTGCTCCTTGAGGTACTCAGCCCGAGCCATGAGGTTCTGAATCTGCCGAGAGAGGATGCACCCATGGTGGGTGAGCAGGGCTTTTTGCCCAAGTTCCACCACACTCCAATGCGCCCCAGGACCCCTGCTCTACCAGGACAGCCTCCTTGATGACTCTCATTTGCCCTCTCCCCTCTGCCCCAAAAGCCCAGACATGCCACCCCCAAGGCAGGGATCTCTCCATGGAGCCTGACATGGTCCCACAGGCAGGAGCAGGTAGAAGGGAAGAGAAAGCCCAGCCTCCTAGCTTTGCTGGCACCTCTGTGTGAAGCAGATCCCGCCGCCGGCCTGCAGGCTCCGCTGTAAAGAAAGGGCAGGTGGTGAAGGCAAGGTTACCTGGCACAGGCAGGGGGCACAGCCAGGGGCTTCACCTGCCAACAGCAGCAGCAGCTCCTCTAGGCAGTGCTGGTACAGATCCAGAGCATCCTGCTCCCCACCACCACTGGCCTCCTCTTCCTGCAGTGCAGGGGCACTGGTCACTAGGGGTCACATTTAGAGTCTTCCCTGTCTCATCCAGAACCCTTTGCTGGGCACAAACCTTGGCCATGGCAGCTGCAGCCACTTCTAGAGCAGCGAGGAGGCGTGGCTTTTCCCGGGCCATCTCTGGGATAAGGGGCAAAAGTTGGGGTGAGAGGCCAGCCCATTTCCACATCACAGGGAGGTCACTCGAACCTGCCTGCCTAGGGAAGAGGGAGGTTTGTGAGGGTCAGCCAGGACTGGGGCACACCTCTTAGCAGTTCCCGGGCAGAGGTTCCCTGCTGCAGCAGAGCCTGATTGGAGGATGTCACGATGGCCTTGAGCTCCTCGGCACGGGCCACGTACTGTCCCACCTGTAGGAGGGTAGGTGTGAGGGCTGCCCACCCTGCCAGTGCCTGCTTCCACGCTCTCCTCCTGTCCTCAGCAACTGCCCCAAACCATAGCCAGGACAGGGGCCAGAAGAGGGTGGCCTGACCCTGCCCGACCTATGCTATGGGAGAGGCAGCCCCCGCCCTAAGAGAGCTGGGGTACTCAGGCCCTCCCCTTTGTGCCATCCATTTCAGCATGGAGCGGGGGCGTCTCACCAACCTTCACCTTAATTGCCTCCTTCCGCTGGGCATCCACTTCATCTGCAGAAGGGGCAGTTCATATGAGGAGTCAGGGGATCCCCTGCTCCACACCATGCTGACCAGAACCTCCCAGACACCAAGTTCCAGGGATGTCCTTGGCCCCCTGTCCTGAAGTGGGTATTTCCTCTGGAATCTGTTGCTGGGCTACACTGGCTGTGGAGGTAAGGCCTAGCTCAGGACTCACAGTGCAGGGCAGGCACAAAGAAGTCCAGCGCCTTGCAGTATAGTGACAGGGCAGCCGTGGTGTCTCCCTCCTGGTCCTTCTGTACAGCCTGCACCACCAGGGCTGTCTGCAGGACAGGCACACTGCTGTCACGATGGGGTGCAGAATAGACCTCACCTAGTCCTCACCCACCTGCCCCCTGTTGTCATCAGCCTGCTAACCGCTCGTGCCAGACTCTCCCCACTGGGCATGTGCTCTAGGTCCACCCATGGGTGGGCAAAGAAGTCCTGGAAGGAGATGCGACGGGTGGGATCCCGCTCCAGAAGCCGATTCAGAAGGTCCCGGCAGTCTCGGGACAGTGGGGGCCGAGAAGGGAGCTGCAGTAGGGGAGGAGGCAGGGATGGACAACAGCACGTCTAGGGGCACGTCTGACAGATGGAGCATCTGAGACTCAAGAGGAACAGGGTGAGGCTGGGTGATGGAGCGTGGATGGCCAAGGCCCGCCCACTGCCACCATGGTCCCTTCCCAAAGCTACACAGGTGGGAACAGGGTCTCAAACCTTCAGCTTGTGCCCTGATCCCTCCACCCCCAGGAGGTTGCTGATGCTCTTCCCATGGGCCAAAGCTCCCCCACCTCGATCGCCCGGTTGCTCCGGATCTTCTCCTCCAGCTCCAAAAACGACCTGGAGGCAAAGGGGGGCTTGCCGAAGAGGGCTTCTGTGGAAGGAAGGTAGAGTGGAGGCTGGAGGGGTTGAGCTTGGCCCAGCCTGCTCTCAGGGAGGGGACCTGACACCTTAGGGCAGGGCCTTGAGCCAGGAGAGTCCCCAGAGAGGCCTTGGCCCAGTACACAATTTGGCCCTTGAGGTAGGGAGCAAGGGACAGAGGTCTTACCATACAGGATGACCCCCACAGACCAGAGGTCCACACGGGCATCATATTGCCGCTGACACACCATCTCAGGGGCCATGTAGAGCGGGGAACCTCGGAGCACATGCTTCTCATCCCATGGGGACATGTGCTGTGCAAAGCCAAAGTCTGCAGGCAGGAGACATGAGGCAAAGGGCAGGTAGCAGGGTTCACATCCCAGTGGCTTGGGCTCCTCACATAAAGCCTTGCTCCAGGTTCCCCACTGGGGTTACTTCTCTGCCCACCAGGATCTAATCTGGGCCCAGCCTGGGCACATCACCAGCCTATAATGTCCTCCTCCTCTGCCTTCTGGGGTAGAAATTTCACCAACCTGCCCTGCCTCTGGGTACCTTCTTCTACACTAGCTGCAGGGATAGGGCCCCTAGTTGCTCAGTGTCCTACAGCTTAGAGAACACCATGTCCTCTAGCCTCTAGCTCAAGCCCTTTTCTGTCCAAGGCTCGTAATGGCCCAGACTGAGTCACAGTCCCAGCCCCAATTCTGCTGACAGATTATCTGGTCCTAGGTTACAGGCACTGTCTTAGATGGCTGCAGGGCTGGGCTCCACATGGCCCCAAGCCTGTATATACACTGAGTCCAAACTCTGACTCAGACCAAGCCCCAGTTCTACCTGTTACACCTTGAGAGGGATGACCTGAGAAGGTTCTGCTGACTGGCGATGGAATCAGCCCTGATTACCCAGCCCGACCCTGTCTGATGACTGAACAGAGAGCTTCCTAAAATCCAGGGCTGCTGCAGGAGCCCCACATACAGAGGCCTCTCCTCATCCACTCTCAACTCTTGTCGCTGTTATTCTGGACTCAGACCTGCCAGTTTCAGGTGGGGCTTCTCCAAGGAGCTCAGTAGAATGTTCTGTGGCTTCAGATCCAGGTGAGAGATGTTCCGCTCATGCAAGAACTGCAGGGCACTAGCTGGATAACAGGACCCATGGGAATATAGGTCAGAGGAGCTCCTCTCTGCAGATTCCTGCCCTTCTCAGGCTTCCAACGGCCCCTCCGACCATGCACAGCCCTACTTCCTGCCGACTGCTCCACTGAATGCTTTATATACAAGCACCAGGCTCCTGTCACTTCTAAGAATTTGCCGCCTTCCTCCCCTCTGCACCTTTCACAGTTGTCCCCTCCTCTCAGAAGCCTCCTGTGATGCCCTCACCACTAAAGATCTTATGCTTTTCCTTGCCAAAACACTTCGAGTTCCACCTACGTGGCCACAGAATGTTCTAGAGGATCTTTATATTACGTTCCACTGTGGAGGCCTGAACACCCCATGAGGTGTTTCTCATCTTTCTCACAGCGTCCTGAAGTCAGGTATGGGGATGTGGGGCAGAAAGTGCCATGACTCTAGTCCTGGTGACAGGGAAGGCTGGGGGGAAAGCAGCAAATATGGGATGGGTGTCAGGTGGGGTCAAAGGCTTTTACCCAACTGCTGCATGAAGACCCGAGCCACCTTCTCAGGCAGAATCCTACGAGCGTGGATGAAGCGAGACAGGTCACCTCCCGCACAGAACTCCATGATGAGGTAGATATTGTCACTGTCCCACTGTGGTTAGGGGGAGAGGGGCAGCCTGAAGAGACTGTCCCTTCTCCAGCCCCCTGGGAGAGCCCTGCCCCAGGCTGGCACCTGGAAGTCTTTCAGCTGCACGATGTGGGGGTGCCGGATGCCCTTGAGGATCTCTATCTCCGTCAGGAGGTTTTCCACCGACGCCTTATTCAGACTTTTCTTAGCCACACATTTTATGGCTACCACTTCTCGGGTGTCTTTCTGGAAGAGAGGAGATCCGGGGTGTCTTCCTGAAAGTGTCTAGGCCAGGCCTGGCTGCAAGGACTCTGGGTCGGTCTCCTACTCTCTCTCACCCTCCCCACTTGGCCTCCTGGCTTGGCATCTCATTCTGAAATCCTGACTTCACCCCAGGCTGGGATCCCCAGCCTCTGCCACCTGCCCTGCATCCCAGGTGTTCACCAGGCCCGTCGCCCAGACCTCTGGCACGGCGCACCACCTCCCAACTGGTCCCTGCTGAGCCCTCCCGGACTCCTCTAGCCTAACAGGTCATTTCCGTTTCCCAATCGTCAGCCGCCACTACCACCAAGGATTCCCGATTCTCCGCTGCGCCCCAGCACGCACCCACCTTGGAGTAGGCCTTGTATACCGTGGCGTATGTGCCGCTGCCCAAGCGCTCCGTCAGGACAAAACCGTCCAGCCGCGGGGGCGCCCAGCCCGGGCGGGCCATGCCCGCCACAGCAGGTGCTTCCCGGTTCCGGCTTGGGGACTGCGCTGTGAGGCTACGGCCCGACCGGAAGCGCCGGGAGACTCCGCCCCCAGAGGCCCCGCCCCCGCTCGTCGCCACAGTCTAGTGAAGCCAGTTAGAGGGCGCTGAGGTCCCAGGGCATAAGTGGGTGGCTGATGCTGTCACTTGGCAGTCTTGCTTTGGCTGACTGGGGTCCCCTACGTGCTAACCAAGACAGGGCAACCAGAGGCACAGGCGCAGGTCATGGGGCGGGGGGGGGGGTTCCAGGAGCGCCCCAGGTGCCCATCCCTCAACACCAGGAGCTCTGAAGATATAAAGTATGAGACAAGAAAATACCTCTACGAGCAGTCCTTTGCCTCCCCACTGCTGTCACCCGGCTGGAAGGGGTTCACACCCGTTGATGGAACCAACCAGGCAGGAGACATCTCGACTGTCCCCGGTGCCCATCTGGTGGCCCACACGGTCTTAACCCACCCATCAGACATCAGGACCACGGATGAAAATGTCATTTTTATTTAAGAACAAAAATGGAGTCAGAACCTATACATTTGTACATGAAGGGGAAAAAAAAAAACCCAGAGAAATTTACAAACCCCAAGTGGCTTTGTCATTCACTGGCACCAGGCCTGAGTGGGGCTGAGGCAGATGGGCCAGTGTGGTGAGACATCCCACTGCCCATCCATGCCCAGCAGTTTGGGAGACTGGACAGGTCCTAAGCGTGCCTCTCAGGGCGGGTGGGGGTGTCTTAAGAGTCTGCTACAGGTGACGGAAGACCTGGAGGGGAGTCTGGAACCCTCGAAGGAGGCTCCTCCTGCACCTCAAGCATCCTAAGGTGGATATTGCTGAAGCAGCATGGGAGAAGGGGAAGGAGTATGAGTAAGGCAAAGGGTGGCAGATCCCTCAGGAAGGGAAATCAAAACAAACAGACCAGGCAAACCACACCAGGACAGCCAGACTTCCTGGCCAGTCTCCCTATTCCTAATCCTAGCCACTGGACATTTAGAAAGGGTCAGCAAGGGCCCTGGAGAGCCACAGGTGCTGCCCACAACAGTAGTAGCCAGAGCTTCAAGGGCTGAAAATCTATCTATGAGGAACTTGAGTCTGCAGTGGCCAGACCAGAGAAGCCTTGAGGCCACCTTAAGAGTGATTCAGGGATCAGAGCTGCCCATCCTCCAACTGCAGCTCACCAAAGGAAAGCTTCGTCCCTCCTGGGCAGGAGAGTAGATCTGTGAAGGCCACAAGTTCGGGAAGTCCTGGGACATGGCAGGAAACTCCAGCTGCGCTGGGCCCAGGTTAAACTGTGTGTGCATGCATGCATGGGTGTGGTCCTGTGTACATGTATGGATGGGGAAGACAGCTTCAGGCTCACGCTTCCAGAGACAAAAGGACCCTACCAAACCACACCAGACAAGGAAAGACAGCTTTGTTATTTTTTTCTTTTCTCTGTGTAAAAAAAGTCCCTGTCCCTCCCTCCCCCTTCCCTGTCACTGAGGAAGGAGAAAGAGACATGACAGAACCCCTGTGAGGTGGGTGCTGGGCATCCCCACTGCATAAGGCACTGTGGAAAGTGCAGCTCAAGGCAGGTGCAGAAGAGGCTGGACAGAGGCCAGAATCAGGCTAATTTCCCTGGAAGGCTCCCTGGGCAGCAGAGGTGGCGGCACTACGGAAGGTCCTGCTGCTGAAGATGCCCTGGGAAAACTCTTCTTGGGCCTGCTGGAAGCTAGCTCCTGTCCGGCGGTAGAAAGAGTGCACCTGGGGAAAGAGATCGGCAAAGAATGTTGGAACTTGGTCACCCAGGTCACACCCCAGGGGGCCACCAGGAACCGACCCCAAATGCCCATCCATGCATTTTTTTTTTTTTTTTGTCTTTTTCCTTTTTATCGGTACCAGGGATCAAACTCATGACTGCCTGCTTGCAAGGCAGGCACTTATGCCGCTGAGCTAAATCCCCAGCCCCCACCCATGCATTTTGGACAAAGGCATAGATTCTCCAGAGCAGGGAGTCAACAGGTGGAAGTGGGGCCCCACCCCACTCACCCGCTGAAGAAGGAACAGCGAGAGCCCAGCACAGAGGGAGAAGAAACCAGCCACCACCATCATGATGATCGATACTGCCAAGGATTCGTGTTTGAGTGTAGACAGGGCTGCGATCCAACCACTACAAAGGGAAGACCGAGCCAGGAGGCGCTAAGTGGGAACAGTCCTTCCCCCAGGGCTGCTGGGTCCTGGCCACCACCTGTGCACTGCCCTATGGCATGGGTCCCCAGTGTCCCTGTCTGTCAGAAGGAACAGCCTCATGCTTCCTGGCACGGAGACAGACAAATAAATGTGGAATCAACCCATATACCCAACAGCAACCTATTCTTGACAAGGGTGCTAAACCCATAGGAGAAAGAAGTGTCTCTTCAACAAATGGGACTAGTACAACAGATCCTTACTGGCCCTATATATAACTCCAGATTGGCCAAAGATCTAAAAATGAGTGTCAGAGGAGACTGAAGCAGGAGGATCACTGAAAGTTTGAGGCTACACAGAGTGAGCCCTTGTCTCAAAAGAAATAAAATCATACACACTTAGAAAAAAACAGACATGGGTCCTCATGACCTTAAATTCAGTAGTGGTTTCTTAGATGTGACCAAAAGCACAAGAAACTAAAGAAAAAGACAGATAAACTAGACTTGATTAGGATTGAAAACCTCTAATTAACTGGACCCTGGAGGGGTTAAATGGTAGAGTTCATGCTACTTAGTGTGTATAAGGGTTCAGTCAGCACCAGAAAATTAAAAAATAAAAACTTCTGTGCATAAAAAGACAATATTAAAAGAGTTTAATTAGTCTGGTGGTAAATACCTGTAATCTTAGCACTCTGGAAGCTGAAAAATCTCAAGTTTGAGCCCAGCCTGGGTAACTTAATGACTTAGAGATTGTTTGTCTCAAAAAAAAAAAAAAAAAACCACACTAGGTGTGATGGTGCACACCTGTGCCAGCACTTGGAAGGCTGAAGCAGAAGGTTTGTGTCAAGTTTGAGCCCAACCTGGGCTCCATAGTTCAAGCATAGCAAGACTGTCTCAAAAAAACAAAAACAAAAGCAAATAAATAAATAAACGGATGGGGACATGGGTCAGTGCAAAGACCCTGGGTTCAAATCCCAGTAGTGGGAAAATAAAAACAAATGAAAGAAAGAGGTGAGAGGGGCACATGACATAATGATTAGCGTCTAATATCTAAAATACAAAAAGAAACAAAAAGCCCTCATACAATTCAACAGCAAAAGACAACTCAATAAATTAGCAAAGAACTGCAATAGACAGTGTTGTGTTGTTTGGAGACACAGTCTTGCTACGCAATTCAGGCTGGCCTCGAACTCATGATGATCCTCCTGCCTTGGCCTCTCGAGTACTGAGACAATAGGTGTACACCACCGTGGCCAGCTTGGAACAGACATTTCTCCAAAGAAAAAATAAATGGCCAACAAGCACATGCACAGGGCTCAACATCATCAATCACTCAGGGACTGCAAACAGAAACTGCACTGAAATATTGCATATATTTACAGTGAGAATGGTAATTTTCAAAAGCATCAGTGAGGCCATGAAGATACCCTCATGCACGGCTCCACAGGAGTGCAAAATGGTCAGTCACTGAGAAGCAACATGCAGCTGCTCAGCAAGTTCCACTCACAATTTCCACACAATACAGCAGTGCTACTCCTAGGAGGGCCCCAAAGTGAAAATAGGTACACAGAAACCTCAGGGCAGGACTGTAGCTCAATGATAGAGTACGTGACACCCTGGCTTTGACCCCCAGCATCATACATGCAAGCACACACATGCCCCCACAGTGAGGATCTCTGACAAACTTGGATTACAAACATTCAGAGAGCATCATTGCTGAGGGCAGCACAGAGGAGAAAAGAACCCAATGTCAGCAGGATGTGGTGGCACACACCTGCAATCTCAGCACTTGGGAGGCTGAGGTGGGAGGATGGCCGCAACTTTTGAGGCCAGCCTAAGCTATAGTGACACCTTGTCTCAAAAAAAGAAAGAAAGAAAGAAAAGAAAAGAGAAATGCCCACACATGAATGAATCTTGGAAACTACTGTAGGAAGGGAGTTACCAAAGGTGACTGGCTGTATGATACTGAAGGATTCCACTTATGTGAAATGTCCACAATTGACAGCTCCACAGAAGCTGAATGCAGAGGCTCACAAAATGGTGATGCAGGATGACTGTTTAGAGGGTAGAGTTTCTTTCTTGGGCAGTAAATGTTCTAGAGCTAGACAGTGGTGATAACTTTCCAGCACTGTGACTGTACTAAATGCCATGGAATTGGATGGTTTTAAAGGTAAATAAAATGGTAAATTCCACATACGTACATTTTATAATAAACAAAACTGACTCATGATTCATATGATCATGTTTACAGAGGGCTGCAGGAAAGGAGCAGGACGCTGGGCGTAGTTGCACTTGCCTATAATCCCAGTACACAGGAGGCTGAAGCAAGAGGATCACTGTGCATTTAGTCTGAACTACAAACCTTGATTCAAAAAACAAAAGTCACCACCACTCCACCCAAAAAAGAAAAAGCAAGGAAACAGTGGGTGCAGAATGCTGAGCCTCTGGGCTGACCTGAGCAGACCCACGCAGGGAGATAAGGGCCAGGGTGCAGCTGGAGCCCAAGCCTTCTGACTTACAGTGGGGTGCAAACAGCAGGCTCTCACCACAGCCTCTCTAGCAGAGCCCCAGGTGGGCTACGGAGCTGAGAGGGCTGGGCCAGAACAGTCCCTGGGGCAGCAAGAGGTTGGAGGGTAGCTTGTGTGGCATGGAAGGCAGGGATTGGCCCTCTCCTCACACTTTGGACTTGCTGGTACCTCCTGAGGGTGGGGACCAAAGTAGTGTCACCCCTCCACACTCAGGCTCTCAGTCAGGGCCTTGCCTGAATTTTCTGCAAGGCTCCCAGGGTGCTGGGTGGAAAGGAAAACATCAGCTTTTCTTTCAGAGTCTAATTCTGGCCTGAACACCGAGGCAGCCGGGAAACTCGAGCCAGCAGTGTGCTCAAGGAAGACAGTGAGAAGTCCTTCCTAGGAGCTGGGCCATGCCTCATGCAGTTACAGGGCCTGCAAGAATGCTGCAGCCTAACCCTACTGAGCTGGAGCAGCCATGGCATCTAGGAGAGGCTGCAGCCAGATCAGGTCAAAGCCCTAAAGATGTGAGCCAAGCTCACCCTCACATGCTATCGAGTGGAGGCAAGGGACAACAGGACGGGGCTACCTGGAAAGAACAGGAAAGGCCTTGGGCACGGTGGCTCAAGAGGATGAGGCAGAAGGATTGCTTGGGCCCATGAATTTGAGATCTCATCTCACTGTGGAATGGGGCCCAGGGGAGACCCAAGTGGCCCCTCCAGCCCTACCAGGGCAGAGGTGCAGCACAGAAGGCTGAAGCCTCTGTCCAAAATCAACAATTCCCTCTGTGACACCAACGCTCTCACCTGGTCCCCAGGTTGGGCAAGCCAATCAGCTGGATAAAGTAGACCCCTATTTGACAGAAAAATACAAAGAAGAACACGAAGAAGCTGAAAGAGTTGTCCGACCTGTGGAGAGAGGGAGAATAAATTATGAGAGGGTTTGGTCACATTGCTATGAGTTTCTTTTTCGGTGGGGTCTCTCTCTCTTCTAGGAGGCAGGAGGCAGGAGGCAGGAGGAACTGGTACACAGGGCAACAGGGACAGCCACACTGTCCTTAAGGACAAGACACAGAACACCAGCACACGAATGCCCACATCACAATCAAAGGTTTGCCTTCACTGTTGCCTAATTTAAGAGGCTCAAACTTGACCTCTTTCTAACAGAGCTGAGAAGACTGCTCCCCGAAGGCCAGGCAGGGAGGTGCGCACCTATAATCCCAGCATTGAGGAGGCAGAGACAGGAGGATCAGCTCAAATTCGAGGTCGGCCTGGGCTACACAGTGAGTACAAGGTCAGCTTAAACTACCTAGCAACATCCTGCCTCAGAAAAACAAAAACTGTTCTTCCAGGCTGGGATTTACCTCAGCGGCACAAGCACCTGGCTGGCAAGCATGAGATCGTGAGTTTCACCCCCCCACACACCCAAAAAAAAAGATCCAAAAAATTGATCCTCCAATGATAATATACATGACTTTGTTTTTCTTTTTTTTTTTTGGTCTTTTTCAGTTTTTTATCAGTACCAGGGATCGAACTCACGACCGCCTGCTTGCAAGGCAGGCGCTTATGCCGCTGAGCTAAATCTCCAGCCCGTTTTTCTTTTTTGAGACAGAGTCTCACTATGTATCTCAGCCTGGCCTTAACTTGCAGTGACTCACCACACCAGCCCCAAAGGACAATTTAGAGACCCTAATACTCCCTCTCCTGGCATGGTTGCTCTTGATAGCAGGCAAGAAACTCTCAGCTAAAGATATAAATATCCAATAATAAAACTGAGCATAGTGGCACATGCCTGTAATTCCATGGCTCTGGGAAGTTGAGGTAGGAGGAGCACAAGTTTGACCCTACTTTGGGCAACTCAAGAACTTAGGGAGATCCCACCTCAAAATTTAAAGAAGTTTAGGGCAGGGGATATAACTCAGCTAGCACAGTGCCTGCCTGACAAGCACAAGGTGGTCAGTTTGATCCTCAGTACCAAAAATTAAAATTAAAAATAAAATTAAAAAAAATTTAAAAGGGGGTTGGAGAAGTAACAATGTGAAGGCTCTGTGTTCAACCCCACAGTACTGTTAAAAAAAAAAAAAAAAAAAGACTGTAAGTCCAGGTAGAAGCCTAGGTATTTGGGAGTGAGGACACCATGTAAGAAACCTCTATCTCGGGGCTGGGGATTTAGCTCAGCGGCATAAAGCGCCTACCTTGCAAGCAGGCAGTCGTGAGTTCGATCCCTGGTACCGATAAAAAATGAAAAAGACAAAAAAAAGAAAAAGAAACCTCTATCTCTGTCTAGGACTAGATGACAGTGAGGGCTCAGATGCTGCTGGGGACATTGGGAGGGTCCAGTCAGGCTCTACCCCCCTCTTCCAAGGACCCTTGGGGCTTCCAGCATGAACAGCGTCAAAGGAAAGCTCAATTTCAAACACAAAAGTATGCGAGGTACACAGCCAAGCTCTAGCACTCAGCAGGTGCCCAGGGTCCCTGAGGTACGGGGGGACCCCATCCAACCCTCTGGAAAGCACACTCAGAGCCTCTGCAAGGAGCCCAACTCTCCCACCTCTGCTTACCGGAAGGCCTTGTAGATGGGTCGGTACCAGCAGAGGAAGGCACAGGGTGTGAAGATCACAAACCACAGGATTGAGAGCCCGAAGTCCACTCCCTTGGAGGTATCACCCGTGAACCAGGCCAGACATGCGAGCAGGTTCAGGAATAGAGTCACTGAGTGCACTGGGAGGGGGAGGAGAGGAGGCAGAGCTGCATGAGCTGAGGTGGCCCATGGCTCCACAACGGGAGACACCACTCAGAGGGGTGGGATATTGCCTGCTCCAAAATCCTGTTGTCCCGGCCCTCAAAACCAGGGACCAAATTATGTTCTTAAGGGTTAACAGGACAGCCCAAGTCTCTGAGTGTGGCATGATGAGGTGCAGTTAAGGCAGAGACTCAGTGGCGGGGGGCTCTGCAGACCTGAAGGACTATCCATGCCAGCCTGGACATGGGATAGGTATGGTCTATGGAAGTCTCACCACAGACAGGGACACTCTAAGCAAAGATGGAGCCTTGCAAATCCCCTCTGCACCCCTGAGGGTGCGCAAGGGCAGGACTCACACATCCAGAGATAGTAGAGCATCTTGCAGATGCGCTGGTAGTCAGCAGGGATCTCCGTAGAGAAATCCTGATAGAAGCAGGGCTTGACTGGGCACCACGTGGGCAGGGGTGGCCAGTTGTTCTCTCTCACTGTGTGGAAAGAGGAAGGTAGCAATGGGGAGAGAGGTCAGCCTCAGGAGCAGCATTGAAGCAGGCATGGTGGCACGTGCCTGTCATCTCAGCACAAGGAAGGCTGAGGCAGGAGGATCACTGGGAGTTCAAGGCTAACCTGGGCTACACAGTGATTTCAAGGCCAGACTGTACTACACGGTAGGACCCTGTCTCAAAAAAACAATGATAAGGGCTGGGAATTTAGCTCACTGGCATAAGCACCTGCCTTGCAAGCAGGCAGTCATGAGTTCGATTCCCGGTACTGATAAAAAAAAAAAAGAAAAAAAAAAAACAATGATAAAGCAGCAGCAGCACTGCTCAGCGTATGAGCAAACCATCAGTTCCAGTAAGTGGGACTGGGGTCTTCATGGGACATGGAGTGGGATATAAGAGATCAAAAGGTCCCAAAGAGACACCCACAGGCTCTCTCCAAAATGATGGAGCCCAAATGCACTGGGAAATACAGAGCCAAATGGGCCAAGGAATTATTTTTATAAGCAACCCGCTGATAAGCAGGACAACCAAGGTCACCATAATGAGTAATGACTTGCAGGAACTACTGTCCCCATGGTACCAAAGAATCAAAGAACTTCAGTGCTGGGAAGAGAACAAAAATGATCTACTACTGTGCATGTGCCAGGCCCATACTGCATGCCCTCTCAGGCCTGACCCCTTCTAGGGAACCCAGAATTCTACCAAGTTCTGCGGCTAGAATAGGAGAAAGCAGCTCAGGAACAGTGAGGAGGCTCCCTGTGCCTATGAGGGACGCACTCCTGGGCATGGGAGGTGGGCATGGTAAGCTGCCCTTACCATGCAAGCTGGCTGCTGTGCTCTGCAGCTCCCGTTCCTTGCGCTCAAGTTCCGCAGCTTTCCTGTCCAATTCCTCCTGCTGCCGGAGCAGGCCTGCTTGGGCTGCAGCTGCCACTGCCTAGAGGGACAAGTAGGGACAGCCAGACATAGAGCAGAAGGGTGGTTATCAGTCAGTGTCATAGGCAGCCAGGGGGAAAAGTGAGCAGGGAGGCTACACAGAGCATCTCCGGCACCAGGGACCACTCAGAGGGGCCCTGCGTCCTCTGCTCCCTTGGCATCACTGGGGCTGTCCACCCCCTGCCTAAACTGAGACCAGAGAACTAACCAGACCCATGCCCCACAGATTCAGGCTGAATTCGTAACCTTTGCAGTTACAGCCAAGGGAGAGACCTCACAGCACACTGAGCCAAGGTCAGAAACCCTCAGCCGATGCCCCAGGGAGGGAGAAGGAATGTGTGAAGTGGGGACAGGAGCAGGTGCAGAGGCACAGTCCCAGGACCTGTATTTTAGCATCCACTGCCCTTTCTCTGCTCCCAGGCTGCCTCAATTATACCCGGCCACCCTCAGGAACCATCCATGGTGTGGTCATGCTCCGCCTGGATTTCAAGCAGATTCCAGGCTTTCTCTTCCCAACAGGCAAGCTGGGGCTTCTAAGAGAGACAGTGTGAAGACTTAAGTGACCCCAAGTAGAATGGGGGCCTAGGGCCCTGCTTCTGCTGCCGCTGCCATTTGGGCCAGGTTCCTCCTGAAGACTGAACCCATAGTCATCTTCCAGGAACAGGAAGCACCTGTGCCCTCCTGGAATGACAAACCATGCATGTGTGACACGCCCCCCCCCAAACAAAAGGGCTCTCCAAAGGGCTAAGGCTGCCTTGGGAAGTGAACCTATCATCGGCAGCAGAAGGGGGAAGTGACTGCACAATGCCACGCAGGGTCTTGACCTTCAGTAGAGCAGCCTGGCCCCAGCTGCCAACAGTCACCCTGCCTGGAAGGCTCGCCTCTCCTCCACAGTGCGAGGACCCCACTGAGGGAGAGCTCCGGGCACCCGGCCCCTTCCTCCTCTACACTGGGCCTACCTGCGGGAGTGTTCGCAAGCAGCTGTCTCTGAGAGCACTATCTCCTCCTAGCAGCATCTGCCTCTCTGCAAGTGTGCCCGCTCCCAGGACCCAGGCCGGCAGGAACTTGCTAGCCTGCTTAAGCGACAGCTGCAACACATGACTCTGATGGGGGTTCGTGTGGGGCCACAAACAAGAATTAGGATTTGGGAAAGGACAAAAGAAAACAGGAAAGCAGGCAGGAATGAGGAAGGCCAAAGAGAGACTGGGACATGGCTATAGTAGTGTGCTTAGTGTGTGCAAGGGCCTGGGTTCGAGCCCTAGCACTACTGCAACAACAAAATAAAAGCAGAGACAGAGACAGACAGATTTTGGGTCCCAAGTAAAACAGAGTAAGCCAAAGGCAGTCCTGGAGAGGCCCAACAGGGCAGACACTCTCTAAGGACATCAAGGAGTCTTAGGGAGCAGAGCTGTTTCCAGTGGTGGCAGTGGGGATAAAGCCCTTTGTGAGAGGACAGAGCACCCTGCAGATGTACAGCTCAAAAGAAATGAACAAGAGGGCATGCTGAAGGGGGGAGGGGGCTTCAGGGCTCAGCTGGGGATGGTGACTCCTCCACTGGATAGAGGCCCACCAGGGATCTGGGCAGCAATACCTGGGGGCTTGGCTGTGTGGGCTCCACGGAGGGCTGGAGAACGGCTGGCTGCGAAGGCCCAGCCAGCTGAGCGGCAGGCACTGTTGTAGCTGCATTTGTCTGCATGGAACAAACCATCACAAGAGGCTGTGAGGAGCTTTTCCCGGGGACCTGCACTGACCTCCTCTGCAGCTTCCCGGAACAGGCCCTGGGCTGTGGGCAACATGACCCCTAATCTAGTCCCTCAGCCAGCCCCATGGGGTCTCCCGTGTTCCAGCATATCCCTGCCTTCTTCAGGGAGGGGACCAGGTCCCAGACCAGAAAGGCCAATTTCAAAGAACTTCAGAGACATCCCATCCACTCTAAGGACTACTGGGCACCACCCAGAGGATCCAGGCCCTGGGGCACACGGCTCACCAACCTCCGAGAAGGGATTGAACTCGGCCAGGCCACTCTGTGGGGGGTTGGTCAGCTGGGTCACAGAGGGGTCCTGCAAAGGAGGAACAGAAGCGTGAGACAGCAGATTGCAGCAACCCTAGCACCCTTGTGCAGCCAGCCAGAGGCCTGGAAGCCGGCACCGAGTGGCTCTGCCAGCACCTCAGTTTCATCCTCAGGGAGCAGGGGTTTGGGAGAAGTGGAGTGAATGGGGTGGCAGAGGTAGAAACCACCAGTCACTTTATAACTTTTGTACTGCTTTATTTATTATGCTACAGTAAGCATTTTCCCTTACTTTTTAAAGAACTGTTTAAGGACTTGGAATAAAGCCTGCTGCTGGCTGCCAGTGTGATGTATTAAACCAGTCACACTTGCTAGAGCAGAGATGAAGGGCTTTCGGGAAAAGTTGGAGAAATGTTTTATTTTGGAGTTTTTTGAAAATTCTTTTTTAAAAAATGCAAACGTGTTCTCAGCCTTGTCCTCAGTTTGCTTGCTTGCCTTTCTTCTTCCTTCCTTTCTTTTTTCTTTCCTTCCTTCCTGCCCCCTCTTTGGTTCTTTCCGGCAGCACTGGCGTTTGAAACCAGATCCTGTGCACTGAGCTACATCCCAGCCCTAACGGGGCTTGAACTTATGATTCTCCTGCCTCAGTCTAGGATTAGAGGTATGCACCACACATGCCCAGCTATTCTTCCAAATTTTCAATCCTCTTTCCATGGTCCCCGCCCAGGACTCCTCTAGCCTCTTCTGCAGTCTGTCCTCAGCCTCCCTCCTTCCCTACACCCTCCCCTTCCCCACCACAGGGGCAGGGTTCAAATCCTGCTCCTCAGCTGCATCTAGGTTCTAGGAGGAGTATCCATGAAGAGGGCCAGGCTTCCATCTGTCCGTCCCTTACTCCCGCCCCTCACTATTCAGCAGGGCATGACAGCACACACCTGTAATCCTAGCATGCTAAGAGGCTGAGGCAGGAGAGTCACAAGTTCCAGCCCAGACCAAGTAATTTAAAATTCATAAACACAATGTCAGTGCTGCAAGGGTGGGAGGGTGAGGTGTCCACTTTGCCGCTCCTGCTCAGTACAGCACTTGAAGCTTACATGCTTCAGTATAGAGTCATGAGGCAAGAGAAAAAAAAGAGAAAAAACACATAAACAGAAAGGAAGAAGTCAAACTACCCTTCTTCACAGAAGACCCCCCAAAAAGTCCACCATGGACTCCTTGAACTAATTGCCAAATTCAGTAAAGTAGCAAGACACAAAAATCACCAAGGTTCCTATAGACTGATAATGAACCCACCAAGAAAGAAATCTGGAAAACAATGCCATTCACAATAGCTTCATGAAAACTGAATATGGTACAGTAAGTCCCCAATTTACAAACATTCACAATGCGAACTTTCACAGGTATACTATGTAAGATTCACTTTGTTGGATTATGAATCAATCTGACTTACGAACATTCTGGAATAGAACTCACTATATCTAGGAGTTAACCTAACCTAGGAAGTGAAAGAACTCTATGATGGAAACTGTAGTATTCTGAAAAGAGGTTAAAGAGGACATCAGAAAAATGGAAAGACACTCCTATTACTGAATTAGGCAGAAGCAATGCTGTCAAAATGCCCATAGTACCAATTATATAATGCAATTCCCATCAAAATGCCAGCAGCATTGTTTGTAGAATTAGAAGAGGGGGAGTCCTGGCCACACAGCTGAAATCACTCCAAGGCTCTGGGACAGGGCTCATCCTCTGAAGCCCCCTGCCAGCCCCTACACCACAGACACCTGATCATGGCTTGTCTGTTGGGTGCCACCCTTTCCTGGTGGCTCCTGCAATGGGGATAAGGGGACAAGGTGGAACCCAGGAGATCACATGAAGCTGGAGTATTGGTCTCAAATCAATTCATGGTGACCAACAGCAGTTTCCACAAAGAATCACCTGGTCTTCTACAGGGAATACTTGGGGCTCAGTATCTGTCCCTTCTCAGACTCGGTGTCACCTTGCCATGTGGAGAAAGTGAGCTACACCTGCTGAAACCAGACCTACCTCTCAGGGAACTGGTGACTGAAGTCTGAGTCATTGCAGGACATGGAACCCAGGGACAGCTCTGGTAGCAGTGTCAGGCGCTGGCACCCAGACACCAGGCCAAGGTGCACACCTGCCGGCTACTGGTAAGATGTCATTTCTTTCACAGGATCCAGAAAGGGGATTCTGAGATTGGGGTGAAGATTAGGGAGTGATGCCCTATGCATGTGGATACCCCACATTCTCTTTGGTAAAATCTCAAAAGCTTGTCCCTTGGTCCTCCTCATCCTAAACATGTCCTGCCCTCACTCAGCCTGGGGACCTCTGCGGCCAAACCATCAGGTCTAGGCCAGTCTCTATATTTGGGGACAAACACTGCAGGCTGTAAGGTCTCTCCATTCTCTAGGAAGCACCAGCCAATGCTAGGAGACTGTGCTCCAGTGGCCAAGGGCTCAGAGGAACTAGCCTCATAAAAGGAGCCTTGCCACCCTATGAAATGTGGGGACATCCCATCTGAGGAAACTGGACTCTCTACAGCTGTGAGAGGGAAAGGGCAGAAGGCACAGGGATAGGGGAGATGACCCTTGCTGGCCTCCCATGTGCCAGGCTCACCATACCACAAGAACAAAATTGTAAAACTCCAGTCACCTGAACCTGATCACTGGGCCAAGTGGTCAGAACCCCAGGTTCCACTGCCCTCCCCAGCCTGGTTCTGAGAGATGCAAGCCTCCACCCTATGGAAGCCACTATCTCCAGTGCCTTCACTTCTCTCCTGTACATCTGCAGGGGACTCATTCTGTCCCACCCTGGAGCCTGTGTGTCCTGTGACTCAGCAGAGAAAGGCAGCCACATATGCCCTCTCAAAAGATCTCGGGGATGCAGTTGAGGCATTCTGTCTGTCTCTGGGGATGAAAGACAGTGGCAGTAAGGCTGTCCCATACCTGGTCCACAGGAGGGTACTGACCTCATCATAATGCACTAGGAACAGACCCTGCTCCAGGAAAATAACAGCCAGCGACTTTATAGAATTGTTCTTGGGGATGTCCCTGACAAAAGACAGACAGGGTCTCTCAAGCAAGAGCCACCTCCCTCCCCCAGGCCCTGGTGAGGACCATCAGATCACAGGCAGGAATGGGCAGTACCAAACTCTGTCCCACTTACTGGGCATCGCCTCACTTGTAAGTGGGCTATGGAGTTATTTACTACAAGGATGGCAAGAGATAGGTTTCATCTATGAAGAAGTAACCTTAAACCCTCGGCCATGCAGACTGCCACATGCCTTTTACTGAACTTACAATGAGGAAAAAGCTGCTTAATTTACTTTCTATTTTTCGTTTTGTTTTTGAGAAAGGGTCTTATTATGTGGCACAGGCCTCAAAGCTTTCATCTTCATTTCTCAGCCTCCCAAGTGCTTGGATGACAGGTGTGTGCCACCATGCCTGGCCTTAGTTCTACTCATTCAGCAGTCACTTTGAGTCAGGACACTCAGAAAGCTGAGACAAGCAGACACGCCCAAACAGTGTGCTGGTGACCAGAGCCAGGATGGGAGAGGGGAGACCCCAGAGAGCTCTGAAGGAGGAGGGGTTCCCTGAGAAAAAGAGGAAGGCAGCCAAGGCAACAAGGCAGAAGAGTGTTTCCGGACAGCTGAGAAGAGAGATGGGCTGGTCCTGCAGTGCTGTTCACAGGGCTTTGAGGTGCACTTGCTTTCATGATTCTGCAGATCTTTAAGCATTTCCCAGGTCCAGCAAGGCCTGGTCCTGGTGACTTTTCCCTGCCCTGGCATGCTGTACTCTCAAAGGGAGGTCTGTGCGGAGCCCCAGACACTGTTTTCTTTTTTTTCTTTTTTTTTTTTTTGTCTTTTTTGTTTTTATTGGTACCAGGGATCGAACTCACAACCACACACTTGCAAGGCAGGAGCTTATGCCACTGAGTTAAATCCCCAGTCCAAGACGCTGGTTTCTATTACACAGGATGGGGTTTGTTACCGCTGTCAAAAATAAGTACAACACAACTAAGTGCAGGATAATAGTTGGTATAACTAACAGAGCTATCATTTGTCAGACTGCTCATGCCCATATTGAAAGGGATACGATAAGTCTAAACAGCATGTGCACGTGAACTGCCAAAATACAAATTCTCTTGTGAATAAGTTTATTGGTCTTTATCTGAAAAATCTTCATAGAAATTTTGGTTTAACTCTCAGTAGCCCCTCCTGAGCTCTGAAGAAGGCCTTCTTTTGAGCTACCTGATCTTCTGGGGAAGGAACATTTTGGGACAGTTCTACCTCTTCTTAACTTCTAGTCAGCCTAGAAGTTAGCCTAACAAATTGTGCTGCAGTGCATTGTACTGGCCTACAGGCTTCTCAATAGGTTTGGCATGGGTAAGATCTATGAAGGCCAGGTGAAGATTACCAGTAGTGAATAGAGTGGAAGGCACTGATGGAAATCTGGTACCTTCACTGCTATTTGGATGCAGGCCTCGCCAGAATAACTGGCAATAAAGTTTTTGGAGTCCTGAAAGGTGCTGTAGATGGAGGCTTGTTTACCCCTCCCAGGACCAAACACATCCCTAGCTGAAAATAAGGAGCTCAGTGTGGAAGCATATCACAGGTCAGATCACTGTAGAAGAAGATGAAGATGCTTATAAGAAACAGTTCCCTAGTACATAAAGAACAATGTAACTCCAGACATGCTTCTATATGGGAGAATCCAGCCTATGAAAAGATGCCAAGGAGAGAAGTTAAGAAGAGGTAGAACTGTCCCAAAATGTTCCTTCCCCAGAAGATCAGGTAGCTCAAAAGAAGGCCTTCTTCAGAGCTCAGGAGGGGCTACTGAGGGTTAAACCAAAATTTCTATGAAGATTTTTCAGATAAAGACCAATAAACTTATTCACAAGAGAAAGAAAAATATATATATATGTGTCTACTCTCAAATCTTTAGCTGGGAGGTTGATTTCAGGATCCACATAAACACATTAAACTGAGTGTGGTGGTATCCACATGTAATCCCTATCACCCAGAAGGCTGAGGCAGGAGGA